GACTGAAACAATTGAACACTTAATTGGGAATACTTGTGATTATTTTTGATATTATGATATTATTAATATAAAATTATAAAAAGAAGATGAAAATCTATAAGTATGTAATCAGTAAGTATGTAAGTTAAAGAGTGAAAAAGAGTGTTATAGGTACTAAATTAAATTCTTTCGTAACTAATTAGGGTTTTTTTAAGGCGGGAAAATCATCGAATGACTGCTCTTGCCTGGTTGAGGCGGAAGGGAGTGTCAGTCTCTTACTGACTAAAAACCACCCATACCTTTTCCTGCACGTCGAGCCGGAGCCCCGGTAACCCGGTGGGTTCTCCGCGACAACTAATTAGGGTTTAAAAGTTGTGTCAAATATGCACTTGTAAATAGATACGAAATTTCTGTTTAATAGATTAGTGCGTCGGTCTGTTTGTCAGTTAAACTAGGTTACCTAAGTTTTTTTTCCACATGCAGTATGTGTATTATTACTATTATTAGAGAGTACTATTATCTGCTCAGCTTTTGATTTGGCAACACCTGTTTAAAAAAAAACAACCAATCCAAAAGGAGGAGGTACTATGGATATTGTTTATTTTCTTTGTTCGTTCGTCGATTTTTCCGTGCATTTATTTATGAACCGTTTTGTTTTGTATGATTTTCATCAGGTTAGGATCTGATGATGTAATCCTAGGGAGACCGAGGGGAATTTTCGAAAATTGAAGGGGCGAGTAATACGACTATATTCAATAAAAAATGAAACATTTTTTTTTTTTAGTCAAAAATCATTTATTTCAATTAGACCAGGAAGGCACTTTTGAACGTCAGCAATAGAAATTTAAAAATGAAGCTATTTGCTCATTCCAAGGTGTAGATTCCTATGGAGAAGAACGAGCAAGAAACTCCATAGGTTACTCTTTTCCAATCAGTTTCACAATACAATTCTTCAGTTACACAGTTTTATTGGTTTGATTGTGCGAGAACAATGTAACACCAAATCTAGCCAAAGAGATCGAAAAAGAAAATAACCCTTAAAGACAATAAATAATACAGTCTGGAGCTGACCAGTCACAGTTGAAGGCGCCCGTTCACGAACATGACACGTACACCAGCACCGCCCAACTCAATCATATTGCAGGGAATCTAGCGACCCAATGCACGTGCCACCGCCAATTCGATCTTTGAGTGAACATGACAACTCCAAACTGACATAAATGCTTTCCACTAGTCCAATTTAATATTTAGTTAATTACAGGGCTCTCACATTAACAATGATTATGCAAGTTAAACCATATACATTTAAGCAACTACGTTGTAATATTTAGGTTGAATTTCATTGACACATTAATGTTTTTCGTTATCCCGTGGAGTTGGACCAGCGTGCATCCAAGCATTTTTATCTTCTATATAATCATTAATTTTGTAATATGCTTGTCTACATAAAGTTTTTTTTATACATAATTTAAACTTCATTTCATTTAGGTGCTGTATATCGCTTGGTATCTTGTTATAACATTTAACACAGAATCCCATGAACGATTTACCCACTTTCGCCAATCTCAAAATTGGCTGACTTAATCTATCCTTATGTCTAGTTTGATAGTGGTGTCTGTCCGACACTTTACCAAATAACTGTAGATTTTTCCTAACATACATAATGTTTTCATAGATAAATTGACATGGATTGACATTAAAATTTGATCAAGCTCTTGAGTTGACCTGATGATGTAGCCGACAAACAATCGACTTCGTGTTGCTTGATTACTTGTATTGATGAATGGGTTTATGCAACTTTTCACTAAAAGTTATAAAATAAAAACTGCATTTGAAAAACCGACTACAAAAAATTAAAAACAAACAAAAAGTAAAAACTAAAGTGCCAAAAATAACTATTATTAGTACTGATAGGTTACCCACCCATTGATAGGTAAGAAGTCGGTGCTATAAGTTCTAAACAAAATTATTCATTAAAACCTTAATAGATACCTAATATTAAGCTGTTGACCACTTTGTGACCATTAAGTTAAGCTATTTTTTGACTGCCTCGTTGCCCAAATGGTCGCAAATGCTACTGCCGGGCAAGGGGTCTCGGGTTCGATTCCCGGGTCGGGAAAATCTCAGTAGTAGCACGGAGTCTGGAGTTGAGCCCGGTATATGGCAATAGGCTTATATATATATCATATATTACATGGGACTTTGGGACACATAACATAAATAGTGAAAAGTGGGTGTTACATTGTACAGTGGCATAATGTGCACCTCTGCCTACCCGGCAGGCTATAAAAGGCGTGATGTTATATTATGTTATGTAAGTTAAGCTAAGTAATAATCATCCCGAACATACAGACAAACACAAAAATTGTAAAAACCATATTTTTGTCTTTCTTATAAAAAATATTTAATGTACCTACAGTTTTAACCGTCATTTATAATTTTAGCACCATTATATGGAGCATGTGGCCATCTTTGCAGTGTACTTTTTTGTTTACAAATTTATTTTGTAGCGTGCATGCACGTAGTGACGCCTAGGTGACACGATTGGTACTATTTGACGGCAAAATTAATTGCAATGAACAGTTCACTGCAAACTTTTGGGACGCTTTTCGTGAACACTCCATCTAGACATGTGTAATGGTTTTACTATTGAAGTTTTGTGTTTATCCGGCAAGGTTCCTGTTTCTAAACATAAATTTATTATGTTTTATAATGGATAACTGATATATGTGTGAACTTTTTAATTATGTTTCCAGCACTTTTAGTATCATCATCAACAGCCTATATATGCCCACAGCTGAGCAAAGCCTCTTCTCACACGGAGAAGGTTTGAGTAATGCTCAAACCTCCAAATCACCACGCTTGCTCAATGCGGGTTGGCGATTTATAAGCCCAGGTTTCCTCACGATGTTTTCCTTCACCGTTTGTCAGTGGTGTCTGAATAATCTTAGAAAGTACAATATATAACTCTAAAAATGTCACATTGGTACTTGCCGTTGGTAGGTTTCGAACCCGCACCCTCATGCATGAGAAGCGGGCGTCTTTAACCTCCGGACCACCACGACATCCATCCGGGCCACCACGACATCCATTGTAAAATACTTTTTTATAAGGGGGGAAAATCATCGAATGACTGCTCTCGCCTGGGTGAGGAGTGCTCATCAATACAAATTAATCAAACCCAAACACAAGATAGCTACTGTTAACCGTTAAGAAGTTCCCTCAACTATCGTACTACTTCATCATCAGGCACTTATTGACATAATTGTCAATAAGGATGTAATCATCCTACCTAGGTGTAAAGTCTTCATCAATACAAATTAATTAAACCCTAATTATTATTAAGATTGGTGTTGAAGAACCGCAGATTAAAAGTAAATGAGATAGCTGCGACTATTAGGATATCAACTGAACGTGTACGCAATATTTTAGCTCTGTGCTAGGTGAGTGCAGTTTGCTAAAGGTCGATCAAAAATTGACTGAACGGAAAACTGTTTCCTTCAACAATTTGGCGCATTACAAGCGAAATCCCAGGGAATTTTTGCATAGATTCATAACTGTGGATGAAACTTGGATTTACCACAGTAAACAACAGTCGAAACAATGGATTGGACCAGGTGAGGTGAACCAACCCCAAAGAAAGCAAAACCAATTTTATCGGCCAACAAGATAATGGCGACTGTGTTTTGGGATGCGAAAGGAATAATCTTCATTAATTATTTGGAGCAGGACAAAACCATCAATGATCAGTACTACCACAGTATAAACTGTGGTACTACGCAGAGTTATTGGAACGTTTGAAGGAAGAAGTGAAAATAAAAGACCCCACTTGGCGAAGAAAATATTATTTTTTTACCATAGTCTATTACATTTTATAATAAATATAATTTTGGAGTCTGTGGACTCCTGGCCACCATGACAACTAAGGAGGGACCTCCCTCACAGGGGTCACGGTCGCCCGGAGGTTTAAGGCCTCTGCCTCGAATTTGGCGGGCAGCGGGGCGGTGGCGGCCTCATTATGTATCAATGTATGAGGACGTTCCCCTATACTTATTATACTCTTTGTGAGGACGCATGTTGGAAACCTACCAACGGCAAATGGCAAGTACCAATGTGACTTTATCAGAGTTATACATACCTACTTTCTAAGATTATTTAGACATCACTGAGAAACGGTGAAGGAACACATCGTAAAGAAACCTGGGCTTGTAATTTCGTATTGTAAGATTGAAATCGCCAACCCGCATCGAACAAGCGGTGATTAATGCTCAAACCCTCTGTTTAAGAATAGGCCTTTTGGTTAGCAGTAGCCATTTATAGGCTGTTGATGAACCCACTCACCTCTGAGGTCCTTATCTAGGACCTGTAACTCTATATAAGGTAAGCTTAAAATAAAAAACTGATACTTACAGTTAAAAACATTTATTGCTTAAAAGTAGGTACATAATTATACTACAATGTACAACTTGTACTAAATAAAATAAATATTACTATCTATTTTATTAGTGTTCACCACCAGTTGTTATAGATTTTACATAGACATACAGATAGGCCCCTATAATTAATTGTGTCTTATCTATTTGTACAACCAGTTACAAGTAAATACCACTTGTATTAATATGAGACACAAGTACTAAATATCTAGTTTTACTATTACATAAACTTCAAATCTTTCTTTATTCATTCATGTGGGTAAGTAGACACTACCAGCAAGTAACAGTTAGTAATAAAATGTATAATCTGGGTGCCTCTTATCCCATGTGGTGGGTGGGTCCCATAGTTAGGCAGATGTGGTCTATAGATGGCTACATCATTACAGTATCGGAGTTACAGCCCAAGTTAATAATAACCTATGTATGGATTAAGACATGTTGGCATTCATTATATTCTACTGATTCACAGTATAGTGGCATAATCATGGAAGGCAGGAAGGGTGCCTGTGTTCAGAAAACAAAACAATCTAATTTCTAATAAATAAATAATAATAGAGGTACAGAGGATAATAGAATTAAATAGCCTATTCAATTATCTGTTTTCCTATTTTTTGATTTAGAATTAGTTTTATCATCATTCTTTCGTTTTTTTGCTTTACTTTCATCAACATTTGCATCAATTTGCTCAAGAGCAGCAATGGGTTGGTAATCATTTGGTGGTGGGGTTTGGAGATCAAAAGATGTATACCTCCTTACTGGCATAGTAAGTTCAAAGCTATCATCTTGCACTGCATCCATGTTTGGACCATTTTTTATATAACTTATGGTGGAATATGCTGTATAATGAAAATCTTCAACTAAATAATTTCCAAGCAATAAAAATGCTATAATATCTTCACCTAGTCCCCTTGAAATACTTGGTTCTTTTCCTTTTTGCCTAAGATTCGATGGTCCTTTAAGGAACCAGGCATCTAGAAGTTTTTGAGCTGTAACTTTTACATCTTGTTTCTCAGCATTCTCAATAATACTTCCTAATGTTTTACAGTACAATCTCACATTAATAATCTTCTCATTGGTGCCAGAAGTGCAACATACATCACACATGTTGTTACAATCTGCAGTTCCCCAATTTTCATCAAAATGTTCAGCAATAATAAGTCTCCTGCATAATGAACCGTTAAGGCAGTACTTCACCATACCATACAGATGTTCTAAGTTTCCTACAGAAGAGAATACCATAGTACTGACCTTAAATATATCTTGCATTCTGTACAGAGTGACACACTCTGCTCTAAGACCGTCACGGCCGGCCCTGCCACTTTCCTGGTAATAGTTTTCCATTGACTTACTTATTGTGTGGTGTATAACAAACCTCACATCCGGTTTGTCAATGCCCATTCCAAAAGCAATGGTGGCTACAATAGCTTGATAGTACTTGTCATGCCATTTTGTGTGCACTTGTGAGCGAACCGCAGCCTCTAAGTTTGCATGATAGCACCCCACTTTAAGGCCTCTTTTCCGCAGCCCTCCAGCAATATCTTCAGCATCTCTAATGCTATTTGTGTATATTATTCCACTTTCGCCTCTGTATCTGCCTTTTAATAATTTTTCAAGTATAGTTAGGCAATCTTCTAGAGAAGATGGTTTCTCAAGAATTTTGTAAAACAAATTAGGCCTATTAAAAGTAGATTTAATAACTAAACATCCAGGAATATTGAGCATTTTTTGAACATCGGTTAATACACTTGCAGTAGCAGTGGCTGTCAGGCCCAAGAGAGGAGTATTTGGGAACATTTGTGTCAAAATACCTAAGTATTTGTAATCAGGTCTAAAGTCATGACCCCATTGAGAACAACAGTGCACTTCATCAATGGCTATCCTCTGCAACCTCCCTGCTGCATAACAAGTCTGTAAATTGGACATAAACCTTTTACTTTTAGCAAATCTTTCAGGTGTAACATACAGCAACTTGATCTTAGTGTTCTTATCCTTCAATGTATTCAATGCTTCCGATGTTTCTTCTTTAGTGCTGGTGTTAGACATTAGTTTAGCTGGAATGTTTCTATTGGTCAGTGATCTTAGTTGGTCTTCCATTAAGGATATGAGTGGTGAGACTACAACGGTCAGCCCAGGCTTTACCAAAGCTGGTAGCTGGTAGCAGAGGCTTTTCCCAGCACCCGTTGGCATGACAACAATGGCATGTTGTCCTGACAGAGTAGAGTTAATTGCAGCTAGTTGTTTGGGTCTGAATGAATCAATTTTATAAACATCCTTTAACATCCGTATTACATCTTCAGACCACTCATATGTGGTTCCTGCCCAGTCTACACTAGACAATGTGTCTGTTTTTAGTTTATTTATTGAATTCTTTATCGACAGTTTCTTCTCGTGAAGCACACGTTGCCGGTCCTTCCACTTTGACAGCTCCGCATTAACTTTAGATATCTCTTTGTCGACATCTTTCAGCTCGAGTTCGAGTTTTTCAATAGTTGTCATTTTAATTTTTGTTATTAATTTCCTAGCCGGCTTTTCCTGCTAGTAATACAGAAAGTTCAATAAAAACAACTTGCCGACGTTTGTTTTGCTTGATCTTGATAGTAATAAATATTTATAACATCAACACTTCAGTGATGTACATTTCACTTGTAGAATTTCTTTGAATTTCAAAGTTAAGATTTAAACAATAAGAAGTGAAAATTATTTTGATTCCGATTATTTGCATACTGCATCCACAATGCATCAACATAAATTGACAGTTTGCCTTTTTGACTTTTGACATTGACGGTTGACAGATGATAAATAAGTTACTCCTGTCAATGCGGTGAAATGGTCGACCACCGCAGCCATCACGGCCTATCGTGTAGCAAAAGCGCGGGCCGGATAGCCCGACACGCCAGCATTAATGACATTATCCATTGAGCTCTTTTCATCGCCGGTGTGCCAGCTGTTCTGGAACTAAAGGGTTTGGCGCGCGACGTCGGTATGTCTATTATGCCCTGAAAGGTGGGAAGGACTTTAGTGTAGGAAGCAACCTGTGTCTACACCCTTACACCTTCTCATCTTCCAGTAATGGCGGGTTGTGCTGGTTCAGCTAATGCCTCTGCAGAAAACCTCAAGCAGTGCAAGTATAACAACCTTGGAGCCGTTTGGGGTTGAGACGTTAGGTCCGTGGGATCCGAGTGCACGTAAATTATTTAAAAATATTTCGAAACGCCTCATTTCAATACATTTGATAACAGCTGTAACAGTATAAAAATGCCATCTAGTTAGCGAAAAAATTACAAGGTCGTATTTATTAATTCGTCATTAAAGAGATGCAATATATACCCATATGTTAGAAGTTAGAACTACCAATACCCTTACCCATAGATATAATGTCCATGCCAATAGCCCAATACCCTAGCAACCCCAAATAGTCAATTGTCTCTGGTAGAATTTAATCAATATTTTGCTTTGCCATGTTTTCTTCCATAAAAGTTTTCCAACTTTAATTTTCTCATTGACTATAGATTTCATTATTTTGGGATGATTATTCTCAAAGCAGATATTAAACAGGCAAGTTAATTTTAAAATTAATATTATGTTAAATTTAAAATTATGAAGTATTAACGCTTTCCTTTATTTTTTTTTATATGGTATTAATTGGTATTACTAACGATGTTCATTTATGTTTTGTACCCACAAATATTTTTCTAAAGTCGATTCGTTTGTCTTGTTTTATGTTACCCGGTAGGTACTCAATTAGATATTTTATTTATAAATGGTCAAATTACCTACCCATAGTTATCTTGCAGTTTGAATAAAAATATTTTTTTTATAAATTATCCTCTCTAAATGAGCTGTTATTAAATCAAAGTGATACCTATATTAATAGGTAAGTAATAATATTATTCACATATAACTTATAACAAAATTATTTTGCCTCTAATATCTTGGCAATAATGGCTCTTATTATAAGTGCCATTTTACACATTCCGGTTGCCGGGGTGCCCAGTGGCACAGTGTATGGCCATGGCCAATGTGGAAACAGTGTATGGGTACCATTACCTACTTGGTACCTATGGTATGTTTTACTTTATTATCTGAAAGTTAGCATCCATATTATCTCCAAGCACGTATTTGCTAATTGTTTTTGCCAAATAAGTATAAATTTTTTTTTCATTATAAAGGATTAAATTCTCTCTTAAAATCGATCAATGTGGAGGCCCTTTGTGGACACCCTCTACCCCATCTGTGGGACATAAAACCTAGTCTAAATCACTGTAAAGTCATAAAATTTTAAATTATTAATACAGCATTCTACTTAGATATAAAGTAACACATAGATAGAGTAGGCCATAACATGATTGTTAAAGATGCACATTGTAATTTAGCATTATGTGTAGGTATGGCTTATGATAGTTTTACATATATCGGCTTTAATATTGTTATGAGTAGGAATTGTGTAAGCAGGTACTTAAAGATACTATTTACTGCAACGTTGTAAATATTTCTTAGTGGTTCAGTTTTATAATTTTTTGTGGCATGAGTTGGGGAAAATGTAATTTAAGACTTCCCCTGCCTGAGGGAGGGAATTTCAGACTCTTCTAGTCGAAACCCATGTAACCTGCTATTTCATCTGCAGCTCCACATTGGGATTTCTCAGTGACTGGAGACAGATCACTATAGTGTCAGATATTTATAGACAAGCGTCGTTGATGGGAAGTGGCAGTAATAAGCGAAGCTGTCACACAGCACCCGACGCAACAGTATATCTTCTACATGTACCAATATAAACAATTCAGATATTGTTTTATTATCTAGGTAGAAGTACACACAAACACACATGTATGTGACTGTTCTGTATGTATGTGTCGTTATTTGTCATCAATTTTTCATGTACCTACAATATCATGTGACGTTATGGTGATATTTTTGCAGGTTGTTGCGGATACTAAGGTGTACTCCGGGTTAATTGAGGGCAGTCGATGAAGGTAAGTGTAACATGGTTGTCTTGTTGTTGTTGTCGTGTACAAACAATAATTAAATGCTGAAACATGAGTAAGTAATTCCAAACTCCTCATGGAGCTTCTTTGCGTTAGAAAAATTGTCAGTACTTTACTGACTATTGCCCCCACTGGCAAATGTCCTATCTCACACGCTGGCGCGTGGTCGTGTGTTAATGTGTACACTCTGGTTACCCTACGGATACTCACTTACCCAGGCTGACCCGCAGCCTTGTGCAGCCCACAGTGGCCCCAGCCCGCGGGCGCCGCCACCGGGATGTGTATGTTTCCCCTGTATTCCATCCTTGAGGGGCGCGTATAAAAACACTCATCGTGTCTCGTCACCTCGTATTCTATCAAGTGGGGTGATGGGGATTTCCTCAAGTCCACCGGCCACTCCACGAATCAATATGTCACCGTCCGGTGCGCCCGCTACGAAGGTAGAACGATTTGTGACTGTGATCTACTTCTACCTCCCCCTTTCCGCAGTCTACTATAACAAGACCAAACCTTCAGAGTAGGTATTATGTAGTACATACTACAAGGAGAATGTCTTTTTCTCAATTTGTAGATAGATGTCGATAGTTAAACGCAAAGCGTTAAGCGCCGCATTTCAAAAAATGGTCGTCATGACTAACAGACGATTGCTAAATCGACGGCGCGACAGTAACATGTCTACTTTACCAGAATATGCAATTTAGACTATGTATATTTTATCAGTAGACATACAAATTAACATACTTATGTGTAAGTGGTAAGTATGTCGCGATACTTGCCATGTACTTACAACATAATAATGTGACGTCACGGGATATCGTTGCAGATGCGACTGTGCTGTATTACCAGCAGCATGGACTTCCATGGGATTCACCTTCCCGGGATATACTCGAGGGCAGTCAGTGTTAGTGTGGGTAAGTTAAGCTCAAAGACAAGATTTGTATAGTGTCAGATATTTATAGACAAGCGTCGTTGAAGTAGGAGTGGCAGTAATAAGCGAAGCTGTCACACAGCACCCGACGCAACAGTATATCTTCTACACATACCGATATAAACAATTCAGATATTGTTTTATTATCTAGGTAGAAGTACACACAAGCACTGTTATGTATGTACGTGTTATTTGTTATCAGTTTGTCATGTACCTACAACGTTATGTGACGTCACGGTGATATTGTTGCAGGTTGTTGCGGGTACTAAAGTGTTCTCCTGGGTATACTTGAGAGAAGTCGATGTAGGTAAGTGAACCTAACATTGCCGTTGTCATGTTGTTGTGTACAATAAGTTCGTTGTTTCTAGAATTAGGCTTAGGTAAATGAATTAAAAACACAATAACATTAATAAGTAATTCCTAAACTCCATATGGAGTTTCTTTTCGTTAGAAAAATTGTCAGAAGTTTACTGACTAAAGCCCCCACTGGCTAATGTTCTATCTCACACGCTGGCGCTTGGTCGTGTGTTAATGTGTACACTCTAGTTACCCTACGGATACTCACTTACCCAGGCTGACTGGTGCAGCCAACAGTGGCCCCAGCCCGCGGGCGCCGCCACCGGGATGTGTATGTTTCCCCTGTATTCCATCCTTGAAATCCGTGTAAAAAACACTCATCGTGTCTCGTCACCTCGTATTCTATCAAGTGGGGTGATGGGGATTTCCTCAAGTCCACCGGCCACTCCACGAATCAATATGTCACCGTCCGGTGCGCCCGCTACGAAGGTAGAACGATTTGTGACTGTGATCTACTTCTACTTACCCCTTTCCGCAGTCTACTATAACAAGACCAAACCTTCAGAGTAGGTATTATGTAGTACATACTACAAGGAGAATGTCTTTTTCTCAATTTGTAGATAGATGTCGATAGTTAAACGCAAAGCGTTAAGCGCCGCATTTCAAAGAATGGTCAAGACTAACAGACTATTGCTAAATCGACGGCGCGACAGTAACATGTCTACTTTACCTGAATATGCAATTTAGACTATGTATATTTTATCAGTAGACACACAAATTAACATACCTATGTGTAAGTGGTATGTATGTCGCCATACTTGCCATGTACTTACAATATTATGTGACGTCACGGGATATCGTTGCAGATGCGACGGTGCGGCATTACCAGCAGCATGGACTTCCATGGGATTCACCTTCCCGGGATATACTCGAGGGCAGTCAGTGTCAGTGTGGGTAAGTTAAGCTCAAAGACAAAATTTGTATAGTGTCAGATATTTATAGACACGCGTCGTTGATGGGAAGTGGCAGTAATAAGCGAAGCTGTCACACAGCACCCGACGCGACAGTATATCTTCTACACGTACCAATATAAACAATTCAGATATTATTTTATTAGCTAGGTAGAAGTACACACAAGCACTGTTATGTATGTACGTGTTATTTGTTGTTATTTGTCATCAGTTTGTCATGTAGGTACCTACAAAGTTATGTGACGTCATGGTGATATTTTTGCAGGTTGCTGCGGGTACTAAGGTTTACTCCGGGTTCATTGAGGGCAGTCGATGAAGGTAAGTGTAACATTGTGGTTGTCTTGTTGTTGTTGTTGTGGTGTACAAACAATGATTAAATGCTGAAACAGCACAAAACCTAAGACAGTGTCGATAGCTAGGCAAAAAATTAAAAATCAACCCACAATGTCCATTAAAATTCAGCCCACAATGTCCCAGCCTTGTGCAGCCCACAGTGGCCCAGCCTTGTGCAGCCCACAGTGGCCCAGCCTTGTTCAGCCCACAGTGGCCCAGCCTTGTTCAGCCCACAGTGGCCCAGCCTTGTGCAGCCCACAGTGGCCCAGCCTTGTGCAGCCCACAGCGGCCCCAACCCGCGGGCTTCGCCACCGGGATGTGTAGGTTTCCCCTGTATTCCATCCTTGAGGCGCGCGTAAAAAACACTCGTCGTATCTTGACACCTCGTATTCTATTAAGTGGGGTGATGGGGTTTACCCCAAGTCCACCGTCCACTCCACGCATCAATATGTCACCGTCCGGTGCGCCTGCTACGAAGGAAGAACGATTTGTGACTGTCATCTACTTCTACCTCCCCCTTTCCGCAGTCTACTATAACAAGACCAAACCTTCAGAGTAGGTATTATGTAGTACATACTACAAGGAGAATGTCTTTTTCTCAATTTGTAGATAGATGTCGATAGTTAAACGCAAAGCGTTAAGCGCCGCATTTCAAAGAATGGTCAAGACTAACAGACTATTGCTAAATCGACGGCGCGACAGTAACATGTCTACTTTACCAGAATATGCAATTTAGACTATGTATATTTTATCAGTAGACATACAAATTAACGTACATTTATGTGTAAGTGGTATGTATGTCGCGATACTTGCCATGTACTTACAATATTATGTGACGTCACGGGTTATTGTTGCAGATGCGACTATGCTGTATTACCAGCAGCATGGACTTTCATGGGATTCACCTTCCTGGGATATACTCGAGGGCAGTCAGTGTCAGTGTGGGTAAGTTAAGCTCAAAGACAAAATTTGTATAGTGTCAGATATTTATAGACAAGGGTCGTTGATGGGAAGTGGCAGTAATAAGCGAAGCTGTCACACAGCACCCGACGCAACAGTATATCTTCTACACGTACCAATATAAACAATTCAGATATTGTTTTGTTATCTAGGTAGAAGTACACACAAGCACTGTTATGTATGTGTGTGTTGTTATTTGTCATCAGTTTGTCATGTACCTACAATGTTATGTGACGTCACGGTGATATTGTTGCAGGTTGTAGCGGGTACTTAAGTGTTCTCCTGGGTATACTTGAGAGAAGTCGGTGTCGGTAAGTGAACCTAACATTGCCGTTGTCTTGTTGTTGTGTACAATAAGTTCGTTGTTTCGAGAGTTAGGCTTAGGTAAAGGAATTAAAAACACAATAACATTAGTAAGTAATTCCAAACTCCTCATGGAGATAAATTAACATGGATGATAACTCATTTATTCAAATAAAAAACTTAAATTAAAAACTAACTATAACTTAAAAAAATTAAAACTAAATATTACTAAATTAAATACCTATATACAACTAAAGATTAAAATTAATTATAAGATTATATTATTATTATTTTCTGGTAGTTATATCTTTGAGCCGTTTGGGGTTGAGACGCTAGGTCCGTGGGGTCCGAGTGCACTTAAATTATTCAAAAATATTTTAAAACGCCTGGTTGACACATCTCGTGACCAGAGGGCTGGTCTTTTTCTCGGTCAGAGTTTAAGCATTGCCATACAACGTGGCAATGCTGCCAGCCTTCTGGGTACTTTCCCCACTGACGTCGATGCGGACATTGCGGACGAATTTTTCGACGCTTTATGTAAATAGTTGTTTTTGTTTTTTTTTTCTTATAATTAATTTTAACCTCATGGAGTGTCTTTTTGTTAGAAAAATTGTCAGAACTTTACTGACTAAAGCCCCCACTGGCTAATGTCCTATCTCACACGCTGGCGCTTGGTCGTGTGTTAATGTGTACACTCTAGTTACCCTACGGATACTCACTTACCTAGACTGACCCGTAGGACACCACTTTTTTTTCAATTTGTAGTTAGGTATCGATAGTTAAACGTTTCTTTTCAGCTTCCAATAGCTAAGCGCCGCATTTCAAAGAATGGTCGTCAAGACTAACAGACTATTGCTAAATCGACGGCGCGACAGTAACATGTCTACTTTACCTGAATATGCAATTTAGACTATGTATATTTTATCAGTAGACACACAAATTAACATACCTATGTGTAAATGGTATGTATGTCTCGATACTTGCCATACTTACAATATTTTGTGACGTCACGGGATATCGTTGCAGATGGCTGTGCGGCATTACCAGCAGCATGGAAGTACTCTGCCGGGATATACTCGACGGCAGTCAGTGTCAGTGTGGGTAAGTTAAGCTCAAAAACAAAATTTGTATAGTGTCAGATATTTATAGACAAGCGTCGTTGATGGGAAGTGGCAGTAATAAGCGAAGCTGTCACACAGCACTCGACGCAACAGTATATCTTCTACACGTACCAATATAAACAATTCAGATATTGTTTTATTATCTAGGTAGAAGTACACACAAGCACTGTTATGTATGTACGTGTTATTTGTTGTTATTTGTCATCAGTTTGTCATGTAGGTACCTACAACGTTATGTGACGTCACGGTGATATTTTTGCAGGTTGCTGCGGATACTAAGGTGTACTCCGGGTTAATTGAGGGCAGTCGATGAAGGTAAGTGTAACATTGTGGTTGTCTTGTTGTTATTGTCGTCGTGTACAAAGAATGGTTAAATACTGAAACAGCACAAAACCTAAGACTGTGTTGAGAGTTAAGCAAAAGAATTTAAAAATCTAATAACATGAGTAAGTAATTCCAAACTCCTCATGGAGCTTCTTTGCGTTGGAAAAATTGACAGAAGTTTACTGACTAAAGCCCCCACTGGCTAATGTCCTATCTCACACGCTGGTGCGTGGTCGTGTGTTAATGTATACACTCTAGTTACCCTACGGATACTCACTTACCCAGGCTGACCTGCAGCCTTGTGCAGCCATGCACAGTGGTCCAGCCTTGTGCAGCCCACAATGGCCCAGCCTTTGTTCAGCCCACAGTTGCCCAGCCTTGTGCAGCCCACAGTGGCCCAGCCTTGTTCAGCCCACAGTGGCCCAGCCTTGTGCAGCCCGCAATGGCCCAGCCTTGTGCAGCCCACAGTGGCCCAGCCTTGTTCAGCCCACAGTGGCCCAGCCTTGTGCAGCCCACAGTGGCCCAGCCTTGTGCAGCCTACAATGGCCCAGCCTTTGTTCAGCCCACAATGGCCCAGCCTTGTGCAGCCCACAGTGGCCCAGCCTTGTGCAGTCCACAGTGGCCCAGCCTTGTGCAGCCCACAGTGGCCCAGCCTTGTGCAGCCCACAGTGGCCCAGCCTTGTGCAGCCCACAGTGGCCCAGCCTTGTTTAGCCCACAGTGGCCCAGCCTTGTTCAGCCCACAGTGGCCCAGCCTTGTGCAGCCCACAGCGGCCCCAACCCGCTGGCTTCGCCACCGGGATGTGTAGGTTTCCCCTGTATTCCATCCTTGAGGGGCGCGTAAAAAACCCTCGTCGTATCTCGTCACCTCGTATTCTATCAAGTGGGGTGATGGGGACTTCCTCAAGTCCACCGTCCACTCCACGGATCAGTATGTCACCGTCCGGTGCACCTGCTACGGAGGAAGAACGATTTGTGACTGTGATCTACTTCTACCTCCCCCTTTCCGCAGTCTACTATAACAAGACCAAACCTTCAGAGTAGGTATTATGTAGTACATACTACAAGGAGAATGTCTTTTTTCAATTTGTAGATAGATGTCGATAGTTAAACGCAAAGCGTTAAGCGCCGCATTTCAAAGAATGGTCAAGACTAACAGACTATTGCTAAATCGACGGCGCGACAGTAACATGTCTACTTTACCAGAATATGCAATTTAGACTATGTATATTTTATCAGTAGACATACAAATTAACATACTTATGTGTAAGTGGTATGTATGTCGCCATACTTGCCATGTACTTACAATATTATGTGACGTCACGGGATATCGTTGCAGATGCGACGGTGCGGCATTACCAGCAGCATGGACTTCCATGGGATTCATTCTTCTACCGGGATATACTCGAGGGCAGTCAGTGTCAGTGTGGGTAAGTTAAGCTCAAAGACAAGATTTGTATAGTGTCAGATATTTATAGACAAGCGTCGTTGATGGGAAGTGGCAGTAATAAGCGAAGCTGTCACACAGCACCCGACGCAACAGTATATCTTCTACACGTACCAATATAAACAATTCAGATATTGTTTTATTAGCTAGGTAGAAGTACACACAAGCACTGTTATGTATGTACGTGTTATTTGTTGTTATTTGTCATCAGTTTGTCATGTAGGTACCTACAAAGTTATGTGACGTCACGGTGATATTTTTGCAGGTTGCTGCGGATACTAAGGTGTACTCCGGGTTAATTGAGGGCAGTCGATGAAGGTAAGTGTAACATTGTGGTTGTCTTGTTGTTATTGTCGTCGTGTACAAAGAATGGTTAAATACTGAAACAGCACAAAACCTAAGACTGTGTCGATAGTTAGGCAAAAGAATTAAAAATCCAATTTCATGACTAATTCCAAACTCCTCATGGAGTTTCTTTTCGTTAGAAAAATTGTCAGTACTTTACTAAAGCCCCCACTGGCTAATGTCCTATCTCACACGCGGGCGCGTGGTCGTGTGTTAATGTATACACTCTAGTTACCCTACGGATACTCACTTACCCAGGCTGACCCGCAGCCTTGTGCAGCCCACAGTGGCTCCAGCCCGCGGGCGGCGCCACCGGGATGTGTAGGTTTCTTCTGTATTCCATCCTTGAGGCGCGCGTAAAAAACACTCGTCGTATCTTGACACCTCGTATTCTATTAAGTGGGGTGATGGAGACTTCCCCAAGTCTACCGTCCACTCCACGCATCAATATGTCACCGTCCGGTGCGCCCGCTACGAAGGAAGAACAATTTGTGACTGTGATCTACTTCTACCTCCCCCTTTCCGCAGTCTACTATAACAAGACCAAACCTTCAGAGTAGGTAGTATGTAGTACCTACTACAAGGAGAATGTCTTTTTTTCAATTTGTAGATAGGTGTCGATAGTTAAACGCAAAGCGTTAAGCGCCGCATTTCAAAAAATGGTCGTCATGACTAACAGACGATTGCTAAATCGACGGCGCGACAGTAACATGTCTACTTTACCAGAATATGCAATTTAGACTATGTATATTTTATCAGTAGACATACAAATTAACGTACATATGTGTAAGTGGTATGTATGTCGCCATATTTGCCATGTACTTAGAATATTTTGTGACGTCACGGGATATCGTTGCAGATGCGACTGTGCTGTATTACCAGCAGCATGGACTTCCATGGGATTCACCTTCCCGGGATATACTCGAGGGCAGTCAGTGTCAGTGTGGGTAAGTTAAGCTCAAAGACAAAATTTGTATAGTGTCAGATATTTATAGACAAGCGTCGTTGATGGGAAGTGGCAGTAATAAGCGAAGCTGTCACACAGCACCCGACGCGACAGTATATCTTCTACACGTACCAATATAAACAATTCAGATATTGTTTTATTAGCTAGGTAGAAGTACACACAAGCACTGTTATGTATGTATGTGTTGTTATTTGTCATCAGTTTGTCATGTAGGTACCTACAATGTTATGTGACGTCACGGTGATATTTTTGCAGGTTGCTGCGGATACTAAGGTGTACTTCGGGTTAATTGAGGGCAGTCGATGAAGGTAAGTGTAACATTTTGGTTGTCTTGTTGTTATTGTCGTCGTGTACAAAGAATGGTTAAATACTGAAACAGCACAAAACCTAAGACTGTGTCGATAGTTAGGCAAAAGAATTAAAAATCCAATAACATGACTAATTCCAAACTCCTCATGGAGTTTCTTTTCGTTAGAAAAATTGTCAGTACTTTACTAAAGCCCCCACTGGCTAATGTCCTATCTCACACGCGGGCGCGTGGTCGTGTGTTAATGTATACACTCTAGTTACCCTACGGATACTCACTTACCCAGGCTGACCCGCAGCCTTGTGCAGCCATGCACAGTGGTCCAGCCTTGTGCAGCCCACAATGGCCCAGCCTTTGTTCAGCCCACAGTGGCCCAGCCTTGTGCAGCCCACAGTGGCCCAGCCTTGTGCAGCCCATAGTGGCCCAGCCTTGTGCAGCCCACAGTGGCCCAGCCTTGTTCAGCCCACAGTGGCCCAGCCTTTTTCAGCCCACAGTGGCCCAGCCTTGTGCAGCCCACAGTGGCCTAGCCTTGTTCAGCCCACAGTGGCCCAGCCTTGTTCAGCCCACAGTGGCCCAGCCTTGTGCAGCCCACAGCGGCCCCAACCCGCGGGCTTCGCCACCGGGATGTGTAGGTTTCCCCTGTATTCCATCCTTGAGGGGCGCGTAAAAAGCACTCGTCGTATCTCGTCACCTCGTATTCTATCGGGACTTCCACAAGTCCACCGTCCACTCCACGGATCAATATGTCACCGTCCGGTGCACCTGCTACGGAGGAAGAACGATTTGTGACTGTGATCTACTTCTACCTACCCCTTTCCGCAGTCTACTATAACAAGACCAAACCTTCAGAGTAGGTATTATGTAGTACTTCTTACTACATACTACAAGGAGAATGTCTTTTTTCAATTTGTAGATAGATGTCGATAGTTAAACTAGTTAAACGCAAAGCGTTAAGCGCCGCATTTTAAAGAATGGTCAAGACTAACAGACTACTGCTAAATCGACGGCGCGACAGTAACATGTCTACTTTACCAGAATATGCAATTTAGACTATGTATATTTTATCAGTAGACATACAAATTAACATACTTATGTGTAAGTGGTATGTATGTCGCGATACTTGCTATGTACTTACAATATTATGTGACGTCACGGGATATCGTTGCAGATGCGACTGTGCTGTATTACCAGCAGCATGGACTTCCATGGGATTCACCTTCCCGGGATATACTCGAGGGCAGTCAGTGTCAGTGTGGGTAAGTTAAGCTCAAAGACAAAATTTGTATTGTGTCAGATATTTATAGACAAGCGTCGTTGATGGGAAGTGGCAGTAATAAGCGAAGCTGTCACACAGCACCCGACGCAACAGTATATCTTCTACACATACCGATATAAACAATTCAGATATTGTTTTATTATCTAGGTAGAAGTACACACAAGCACTGTTATGTATGTACGTGTTATTTGTCATCAGTTTGTCATGTACCTACAACGTTATGTGACGTCACGGTGATATTGTTGCAGGTTGTTGCGGGTACTAAAGTGTCCTCCTGGGTATACTTGAGAGAAGTCGATGTAGGTAAGTGAACCTAACATTGCCGTTGTCATGTTGTTGTGTACAATAAGTTCGTTGTTTCTAGAATTAGGCTTAGGTAAATGAATTAAAAACAATAACATTAATAAGTTATTCCTAAACTCCATATGGAGTTTCTTTTCGTTAGAAAAATTGTCAGAAGTTTACTGACTAAAGCCCCCACTGGCTAATGTTCTATCTCACACGCTGGCGCTTGGTCGTGTGTTAATGTGTACACTCTAGTTACCCTACGGATACTCACTTACTCACGGGATATCGTTGCAGATGCGACTGTGCTGTATTACCAGCAGCATGGACTTCCATGGGATTCACCTTCCCGGGATATACTCGAGGGCAGTCAGTGTCAGTGTGGGTAAGTTAAGCTCAAAAACAAAATTTGTATTGTGTCAGATATTTATAGACAAGCGTCGTTGATGGGAAGTGGCAGTAATAAGCGAAGCTGTCACACAGCACTCGACGCGACAGTATGTCTTCTACTTGTTATGATATAAACAATTCATATATTGTTATATTGTCTAGGTAGAAGTACACGCATGTACATATATTATGTAATTATGTTATGTGTGTCTGCAATGTTTTGTGACATGACTGATATTGTTTCAGATGCTACATAATTGACACTCGCAGGATTATGGAAGCGGGAAAGTTCGAAAGAGCTGCAACATCACCAAAACCATTAACAAGAGTGTCATGCGAAAGCTAATAGTCCCAATCTTCCTTTACGCGACCGAGACGTGGACAGAAGATAAATGTTTTAAAGATGAGGCGCTACAAGAAGATGCTCGGAATATCATTAACAGAGTTCCGCAGCATTGTTACCATACTTGGAGAACTCAGCATCACACAGCGTCTATCGACCATGGAAAACATGCTCCCGCTACAGTGCTTTGGCCGTGCCATGTCAGGGAAGGTATAAGGAATCAGGTCACAAGGTGGATCACCTATGCGTTGGACAGATCAAGTGCACGACGAAAATCAGCGACAGAAAACCCATTGCCAGTTTGCGTCAATTCACAGAGATGATAAGGAAAGCTGTGTCCGCCTCTATGAGCCTCTAATGCAATTGGCCGACGCAACATGACCATGGTGAAGATTATGAAGGTGCTCGCCTGGGATGCTGGAGCAGTCAGGTCAGTTCAATATTTAGAAAACCTAGATAAAACTTAAACCTAAAACAATACTCCGCTGCTTGATAAAGATTCGTCACTAGTAAGATTACCTATGAAAGCACTGTAACCACGGTAATTACCGTGCCGTAACGGCGCCGCTCCAACCCTTCTATTATTACTAGTCATTTTTGACATTAAATCATATGTCATATGATATACATATTTCCCTATCACGTCAATAGGAAAAGCCAACGGAAGGTTGTCAGCGCGCGGGCAACGTGCTTGCAGCCCGCCGTCGGCTTTTTCAAAGCTAAAAACGTCGTACAGGTGAATTTTTGTTAATTTTTTTTATTACCCATAGTCCTCTAAGTGACCGGAAGAGGCGCCATACAAAGTGCCGAGCCGGGTCATAGACGCCTATAGGTACCTACATATTATTATTATCATACCAATGAGCCAGGTACGTAGGTAAGCGTCGGATTTGATGCGACAGTTTAAAGGTGATCTGTCACAGGCCGTACGACGCGACATTAAATATAAACTTCTATGATATCTTATAGCAAACTTAGAGTATTGCTATAACCACCCCGTAGAAGTACAAATGATTGCTGACCTTATTTTTACTTGGTCAAGGAAATTTAAGAATGAATTATCACACATGACACGTTGCTGGTGCAGCTGGCTATTCTGTATAATGTCAATTTGAACTCTTGAAGTGAACTATCAGTTCAGTTCACCGTGTCATTGGTTATGAGAATATCTCGACCCGAATATGCATCAAATTGGGATTATTTACCCACCTACAAATCGATGTTAGTTTACTTAAAATCTTATACCTTGTAATTTTTTTGTTTGCAGCCTAATTCCGTAAAGACTGCAGATAATCTCCAGAACGACGGCTGTCAGCGACATTTCAAGATTAAAGGTCTTCTTACTTAACGTCAAGGTCTAAAATACCGTAAAATGAGGTGAATAGAAATCAAGAGGTAAATAGCGACAAAAGAGGGGTGAATAGAGACAAAAGAGGGGTGAATAGAGACAAAAGAGGGGTGAATAGAGACAAAAGAGGGGTGAATAGAGACAAAAGAGGGGTGAATAGAGACAAAAGAGGGGTGAATAGAGACAAAAGAGGGGTGAATAGAGACAAAAGAGGGGTGAATAGAGACAAAAGAGGGGTGAATAGAGACAAAAGAGGGGTGAATAGAGACAAAAGAGGGGTGAATAGAGACAAAAGAGGGGTGAATAGAGACAAAAGAGGGGTGAATAGAGACAAAAGAGGGGTGAATAGAGACAAAAGAGGGGTGAATAGAGACAAAAGAGGGGTGAATAGAGACAAAAGAGGGGTGAATAGAGACAAAAGAGGGGTGAATAGAGACAAAAGAGGGGTGATAAGGACAAAAGAGGGGTGAATAGAGACAAAAGAGGGGTGAATATATATTGGGAAATTCTTTATAGTATCGATTCACCCCTCTTCTGTCTCTAATGTCTCTATTCACCCCTCGGTCCCTATTCACCTCATTTTACCTAAATGCATTCTATTGGGTATGGTAAATGTGAGCAGTTCATCACACGCAATAGGCATGCTAGTTTAAATTGTAGCAGCTCTGGGGGCCAGACTTGTCGTCATTTGCTCCGCGGTCAAATGTAGTATGGTACATGTTCATTAATTTCTGAATGTATGTTAATAGGATTTGTGTTGAAACCGCCTTAAAAATAAAATGTATAAAATATTGAATTTGTTATTTTATTTCACTTAGAGACCTTATTAAATATGTATCTACATTTACTACGACTGCCTCGTTGGCCGAGTGGTCGCAAGTGCGACTGCCAGGCAAAGGGTTTCGGGTTCGATTCCCGTGTCGGACAAAGTATTACTGGTTTTTGAAAATTCTCAGTAGTAGCACGGAGTCTGGAATTGTGCCTGGTATATGGCAATAGGCTCACCCCCTATTACATGGTACTCATAACATAAATAGTGAAAAGTGGGTGTTACATTGTACAGTGCCATTAATTAAGTGCCGTGATGTGCGCCTCTGCCTACCCCTTCGGGGATAAAAAGCGTAATGTTATCTTATATATTCTTAGGTACTGTGTTCACTTGTAGGAAGTCAGTTCTACGACGATCAGATATACATATAAATATGTAGGTACATATATACAAGTCCACCTTATGTACATTTTGTGCATGAAACTTTAAAATAAAATAAATACATAACCACGTAATATGACAGATGTCACTAGAGGTCACGGTATTGTAGAATTATACGAATACCCACTACACTACAGGTACCATTCCTACAGTCGCTGCTCTCATTCACTCTTCTTGGCTACAAGCGGCACTGACTACACCGCTACACGAATAGAGCAGCGGTCGAATAACCGACTAGTGTTTGCTGTGCAAAGTGTCGGGTTCGATTCCCTCATCCGGCAAAAAGTATCTACATCCTACTATATTAGATTTCTCTGATATAAGAGACCAAAGATAACTTCGAAAAAGTAGGAGGGTACTTATGCCTATCCGTGTTCACCAACCTCTTAATGTTAAGGGACCCCTTAGCTGAGATAGGTGACCTTTTGAACGACATGTTGATTTTTACCTACCTGTAAGTGACACCTAACAGCAGTACAAGTACGGCCAGATAATTATCTACATAAACAATCATTATGCAGAGGTGAAATCTGTCCAAATAGTTTTAATTCTATAATAACATAACGATGTTGCTTATACCTTTTGTAAAACTTTACACATTATTATTCTACAGCTTGGAGTTGACATGACCTCAATTACCTCAATTGGCACGTGTATGCGAGATAACTCGATTTCCTACAGTATGGTTGAGTTGGGAGGTGCTGGTGTACGTGTGATGTTCGTAGATGGGTGCCGTCAATTGGGACTGATCAGCTCTGGACTGGATTATTTTATTGTCCATAAAGTCATTTTCTTTTTCGATCCCTTTGCCTGGATTTTAGTGTTACATTGTTCTCACACAATTTAATCAACAAAACTATGTAACTAAAGAATTGTATTGTGAACCTGATTGAAAAGAAGTAACATAAGAATCTACACCATTGGAATGAGTAAATAGCTTCACTTTTAATATTTTTAGTGACGTTCAAAACTGTCTAATTTTTGAAATGAATGATTTTGACTTATGCCTCTTTTCAATGTAGGTAGCGACTTCAAACAGTGACAGTAAATCAAGTAAGGGCTATCTTCATGAGATGCGAGATATGTAAAAGCCCATTATGAATTAGCCAGTTATATGTTAGTTATTTTTGTAGCTTAACTAAATACATGTAGCGGTTTATTCACATAAATTATATTGAGAAAAGCTCTACTAGTTTCGAATTACAGAGTGGCTCTTCTTTATGAGCGTGCGCGGACGCAGCGACGTCGCGCAGCCTAGGTACTGAACAGTTATATACTTAGGTACTTTTAGTACTAGGTACATAATATGTACAAAGACATATTATGCCTCACGATAGTCATTATAGCAATGTTTTTAGTTGAATATTACGGTTAAGCTACTTTTGTTCAGATTTCAAATTGTGTTAAATGGTAAACTTGTCTATTTTCTATACATACTACCCATTTCCTCAGAGTTTCAGCCGCTGCTCAAGTTCTATTTGATCGAAACGTGATCATTTATAACCTTCCTCAATAATTTAGTCCATTATAATAAAACACAATGATAATAATAAACTAATTCGAACCAGTAGCACTGGAGTAGTCTCCAGTCTTAAGGAACGCGCTAGTACGCGTTCCAACAAACAAACGAATATAGGTTTATAAATCTTCATCTTTATAGTTCTTCATAATTCCCGAGATTTACGCTTAGCAAATCATATGCGATTCATTTGTGTTATACCTCTATATTACTAAATATTACGGTTGGATACAAGCTTTACGTGAGTATTAGCAGACTACACTGAACAGTAGCGCCTTCATTATTTATTTAAAAACTTTCCACTGATAATGCCATTTTTTAAAATAATTTTATTCATGATCATAGACACAAGTCTTTCAGTCGAATACATAGATAGATGCCATTTTACAATGCACGGTGTTGCCTGTAGTAATATTAGAACTTATTGTTCAACTTTATCGGACACGCATAGCATCATGTCCCAGCTCCGCCACCTGGAATTTACATTTCAGTTGTACACCACTGAATCTGGAATACACTCTACTCAAACGCTGATATTCTCAAACGCCACTCAATTGTAAGTAGCGCTTAGGTATAGATGACAGAGATGGCGATATTTAAGTACAACTTAAAATTAAGCAGCTTTTCAGTTATCGCGCGTAAGAGTATACGTACAATAATACATACCTTTACGCATACGCTTTAGTATTGCCATATTAATCATAATAATAAAAAAGTGGGTTACCAGACCAAAATTAAACACAAGAATCATTTAGTAACATTTATTATTTTTATCCACTGAATTGGTGTATGTACTTATACGTAGTATTAGTGCTACATTATGTCAAACATATACTATGAAGGGGAATCTTTTAGTATCTGACCTCGTCTATATACTTACAGCATGGTACGTATAAGTAGTTACTCTTCGTGTAAATACCCTTAAAATATTTCTGTAAGAAACAGGTTAGGTTTTTAAATGCCGTACTTTAGATATCAATCGTAGTGTTTCGTAGTAGATAGAAATCATAAAGACATGAAGTGTTTTATTTCCATGAAAAACATCGTTGTAAATAAAGGTTGTATATATAACGTCGTAATAGTCGCTACTTAGATTTGGAACATCATTCAACAAACAGATTGGTGAGATATGAATGTGAAACATTAATATCGACCAATCGAAAATCGAATGATGAAAAGGCCATCACTTATAACCCACCACAGGTACCTATAGTGTTTTATAAGTAACAGCACAAAGTTTATCATAATTTCAAAATTAAATCATAGTCAAAGAATTGTCCAAAACAATCCAAAACCCGACAACCAACCAAAACAACGAACATAACGTCACATTACAACCGAAAACGACCAAGACACGAGAATCGAACCAACGACAGACATTACCCGACAAAAACGAGCGACCCATCGATAGATAGACCTCCTAACACCCACTGAACCACAAACACCAACGTCATAGAAGAAACATTTTATGTTGTTTAAGATTTTTTTAAACTGATCAGTGTCCCGTAATAAAAATAGATACATCGTCGGTTTTCAAGTGTAGGTAAGTTAAAATATAGGGTTTGGTTAAGGTTCTGAGTACAATACTCGAGTAGATGCTATAGATATAAAATTGGATACGTCGCAGATTAAAGGTGCAGCATATGGTTGATAGTGTAAGTGTACAACATTTCGCGTTACTCATTATGGACGAGAAAACAACGGACATGCCTACTTATTATAGTTTAAACTAACACTTTCATATATTTTATTGTTATTGTATATCGTTGACATTAGGGCATTACACTACATATTTATTTAGAAGTACTTCCAAGTACACTAATGAACAAATAGTAATTGTTAACAAACTTCCGAATGATACTGTCTGCTATAGTAGGTAGACGGCGGATACAATATTGTGTTTCAGTTCGGACGTTCACTAGGTCGATTCAGTTTGTAATGATCGCACTAATGAATGTTTACAAAGGATACAATCAGTAGGAGCTACCTCCATTGGGGAATTGTACGTACAATAGTTATCAGAGCACGATACATCATAAGTGGCAAGACTGGGTCTCGGACAGCTTCGGAAGCAGTTGACAAATGAGCGAGACCATTATACTAACTAAAATTTATATAAAAAATAATTTGTCCAAATTATATTTACTTGACGAAATAACTATTCCCCAATAAAGGTATAATTATTCACTAAACGTACTTTTAATTATACTAATTTTAAATATTCGTAAACTTAATAACTAATGTGTAGATGTATTTACAGTTTGAATATTCGAAACACAAATTTAAGTGGAATTGTGTTATTATATGACTGACGGGGCATTACTATGTGTCTGTAAAAGTATGAAGTAATTAAAATAGAAAAATGTAAGTCCTCATCAATCAATAGGTCCTATGTACTCCTCAGTCAACGCCCACGTATTTATTTAGTTAAAAGAACATAAGAAACCGCCCCTATGTTCTAGTGAGAGCTGCCTCAAAAATGAACGAAAGCAGTGAACGACAAAATATCTTATAATAAGGAAACTAAAAAAAACCTTTCAAATACAGTAAAATACTGAAGCGCTATACGAGAATATCAAACGAGGTTACTTTCAAAGGTTTCAATAAGATCCGTTAATGACGTCAAACCAAAACCAAAAAAGCAAAATAAAAACAATTAAAACGATAATTTTTGTAATTAAATCCATGGATTAAACGACAATTTTGAATTTGGTATTCATTAGGACGGTTATTAACGGACAGTTTATGACAGTTTAATTCATAATTAATTAATGCAACGCAATTGGACGTCAAACAGCAGTGCGTTCGACCGTCCTCGCGTATCCTAAGTGCCGAGACGCACGCAACCGAGATATCTATGTTACAATTTAAAAAATTACTTTATCTTTTACCTAATCTCCTCTGTCTCTTCGCTATGTTCTTTCGAATCGTCCGCCGTTTTAAACCTGAAATTAACAAACCGAATTTCAAAATGTAGCCTTCCCCAATATATAACAAATTTTGAAGCGTATGATCTACACACGTATTTTGTTTGTTTCATTTTCATTACATTTAGCACCCTTCCTTCGTACACCACCTTCCTTGTCAATTACCCGCGCGTCTCGCGGTCAGTCCTACGTTACCAATCACAATTTACCGGAACTTTTAACAAACGGGAGTTGCACTAACCGCTAACCCTTAGTTACATGGCATGATGTTTAGCACGCAGTTTTCAAAATCTTTGATAAAATCATGGTTTAGAAACAGCGTTGTCATTTCTACAGATAACCGCTTGCTGTAGACATAATATCCGCGCCACTAGTTCACACAATAGTAATAGTTCACTTGTATATTCACATTTGATGTTCCTACAATCCCGGACTCCACACTGCCTAATATTCCTGTGGGATCGAGCCCACACGTGGAAACCGTACGATCCACAAGTTAACATAATTCATAATTATTATCATCGTTATTCTAATAAACAAATTATAATTCAGGTAGTCGTTATGATTTTCATTGAATTAATAAAAAATAATGATTTTATAATACAGAAATGCATTGAAATTATTAAAATAAAAATAAAAATATATTAATAAAGTAAAGCTGAGCATAACTTCTATCTCCCGCACGACCGCGCGGCTACAGCCTGCGCCGGGGCTCCTCTCGTCTGATATCACCGTCTTTCAATTTATTAAATACAAATACCCTATCGCAAACGCGATCTAATTCCCTGAAAAAGTCTCTAAATAGAGAATAAGCTCATTAATTTTGTAAAGATAAAAAACTGATATTATTTTAATAAAAAGGAAAAAAATTATTAACAAAAGGTGCGTAAATTCTAACACGTGATATTACAAAATTGACTTTCATTTTTAAAATAAATACACCTAGAATTTATATGCTACGATTTTTTTGCGTTTTTTTTTATTCTTATTTTAACATATTATATATACATATTATATGATGTAGTAGTCACACAAATATTATAGCGCACATCGGCGACGGTCTACCGCCGTCTCACATCTAACAAATGGTATACACGGCGTCATAACGAGGAATCGACTGAATACGGGAGTCGTAACTGTACAGCGACTTGCAAGTATGCTCCACAAATATTTCCACTTCGTTGTCGGGTGAAGATTGTACATTAATCAAATACACAACACACAGGGTTACACACCAAATTACCAACAGTAAAAACCACAGTGAGTATGAAATGTAAAATGTTATTGATAATTTGAATGCGCAACCCCATGATTATGAGAAAACCGGAGACAAAAGTCGATAAGATGATAGTGTCAAGAAGTTCTTACATTGAATAGAGACGAGAAAGCTTCTGATTAAAGTCTCGTGTCCTTTTAACAAGTCGCTGACTCCATAAGTGATGACATGAGTCGAGTATGTTACAACAACTGGACCGCCAACAGTGACTTGTCACACTAACACAATAACTGGTGTAAAATAACTTAGTGTCATATAATATGTATAAAGTAGAACTTCCTCACAATTGTTAGTATACGACTAATCGCCTTATGATTACATGTTAATATGTCGAATATAAAATACATGAATAATAATGCAGTCTTAATAAATATCCTGACGAGCCCGACTTTCATTATTGGTTATTATTTTCATAACTCATTCCTCATTCACGTGTCAACTCCAACTTGTATGTTGAGCGAGTATGCACGATGCATGGTTAAATCATTTGAGAGAAGTGCTGTCAAAAAGCAATATTCTGGATCATTCGTCGCGGAGGGAGGCCTCCCTCAAGGAGAAATGCAATAAAAATTGCTCAGAAAGTGGGTTCAATGCAAACTCGACTCAAAAATGTAACAATCGCGTAATATAGTAGGATATAGAAAATCGGGCGTGTCGGGAGTTTAGTGCTTGACGTATGAGTAGATAATGATGCCGGCCAATATAAACCCGAATGTGATGGTGAGAGGTTTGTACAGCGACCTCTTAATCCGGTGCCATCTCTCGGCCTCCCGCGCTTTCCGTTTCATGTTGAGCACGCGGTCTGCCAGCTCACGATTCCGCCGCCGACGCAGGGTATCGGCTCCATCGCCAGAACTGCACAGAATTACAAACAGATTTATAGTACAAAAATAAAACACAAGAATTCTTAAAAGCTGACCATAATAATGTTCCTTCGAAAAACTTGCAAGTTGATAGATCAACTTGAGTATCGGATTATTAACATTTTGACAAATTGTTAAGGTCCCGGTAAATACCAAAATTTTTCAAAGAAACTTCTTAAGAACTTAAATGTGTCAACTAATCAGGTTTGTATGAACTAACGAGTAACGGATTTTTTTTCAACAATACCTTCGAATTACCTACTAACAGATAGAGATTCTTAATATTTGTCGAGGATTTGGTTCGATTGTAATACTTTATGCATGCATGTTCCGCGAAAAAATGATACAAAGATAAATTCAAGGAACTGTACTAAAAACATTTAGGAAAAGTATACCTATATAGATTGCTATATGTGTACTTTTCCTATTTGTCTTTTTATATGAGTGACGTGATCCTTACTAAATGGATGAACGGAACTACTGCTCTGTTTGAAGTACTATCCATCCTGATTTAATGAATTCTATTCTATTGTAATACTATTAAAGTCTGTTTTAGATATTGTACTGTAATAAAAAAATGTTCCTTCTTATTTAACAGAGAGTGCTTTCAAACTGTTGGTACTACGGAAGCAGTGTCTGATTTGTGCTTACACACGATCACACTGGACATAAGTGTGGACAACACAACTAAAGTGGTCTAAAAAGTAATACAGTTAAAATTTACCAGACATCACAATACTCTATGAAAATACGGCTGAAATACATAAGAATTATTATTTTCATAAATAACTAACAATATTATAAGTACATGTCCTACAATTTACTAAAAATATGTCAATTACTATTCTTATGATTAACAATCTTAAACATTTCATTTGTTAACAAACAACGCACCATTTGAATCACATCTCTTCAGTCTGCTACACGTCTTATATGTACTTTCCCCAATAATATAAGTAAAGCAAAAATCTCCTAAATTTCTATAAAAATAATTACTCCTGTTTCAAATTTGCGTGTCTATATCCATGTCTAAAATATATATTTACTCTCTTTTGTATGACAAAAGAATTACTTAATCTAGTTAATACTTACTTAGAACTTTACTACTGTCGAACAATGTACATATACCGTGCAAGGTCTTTATATTTTGCATCCTATAAACTCTTATTCGAAGCAAGTTATTAAAAATATATATTTTAATCATTTTATCCAATTTAGCGATGCACAAACGCTTAAATCTGAAAAGTATCAAACGAACTAAGTTCACATACGCTCTAACGTTATTCTGCCTGAACACTAGGTAGGTATTTCTCCTATTATTTAAAAACGTGTTTTAACAGCCCTCTACTAAATTGTGCACGCAATATTATCATTCAAGACAAAAAATTACATGTTTGACAGTTGCTTTTAAATTCAGAAAACACAAACGACAGTAATGACTGTTATTTTTAAAATTTGAAATTTAAACGTCCCTGTGTTCATCGTTAGGGTTGAGGGGCTGACAGTTGAGGCCAAGGTTCCTCATGTTCTGTATGCAAGCGCATCTCATGGCTCTTCGTAATACATCTGATAAATACCTTTCGGCCACTGCAGCCGTCGGCTCGTCGTCTTCATCATCAGCGGACGACGCAGACAAGGAGTTGTCACGCGATGGCGGTGTTGGGGGACTCTCATCCGAGCTGGAATCTTGCTGGCTGAAGTTAAGGTTGCCTGTCCAATAACATAGTAACATTATAACTCTTTCGTAGTAAAAGAATATAGCGATGTGTCGAGATATCGTTAGGGTAGCGAGTAATAGGATAGGTGGGATAGCGAGTAATATGTGTCGTCACAACCAGGTATTCGGTACTGCCATTTTACTTTATTGATAGTAATCTTATTTTCCAATATCTTTAAGCCGAGCCTTTAAAATATCTGAACTATATGAACAAATAAGACGAGGTCTAGATCGATGTAATTTCTGTCAACATTGCGATTTGACCGTAGCAGTAAAATTGAAGCCGTAACAACATGTCCAGAAAACACAGATCATCGCTAAACTTACGCCCACATCACTAAAGCAACAACTGTATACACTATCTCAATCACATCGATACAAAAAATCTATAAAATGTTCGTAACACGTAAAACATCAATATTTATAAACACGAACAACGCACATTGAAATGAGTATAGTATCACGTGGCCGACGGCGCTGTGTATAAGTGAGATAGACCTCGGCGCGGTAATGCTACCGTCATTCCAATATTTATATACGATAAAGCTCTCATTCCTCACTCTCAACAGAGCACAGTCTTACATCAAAGAATCGTAGACCTCTCAGACCTTACGCTAACAGGTACACTAAGACATGAATGGCATGCACTATTGCCTATCTGAGTCGACGAGATGTTTCCATACTCCGCTGCAATGAAAATGTTTACTCAGATCCGGTCCGCTTCATCGGCTACGTCTCCTCGATGTTCTCTAACCTGACGGCTTTAATCAAACGAAACAAACCGAATCAACGAGTTCTAACAATGGTAAATATATAGTTTTAAATTTCCAAAAATGTATCAAAATGTTGCACTGTGTATAAATGTATAGTTTTGTCATCATTGTATAATATAAAAATGGTTTCATTGGAATGCAACATGAAAATTTGAATACTGTATTTTTATTATTAAGTTTCACTTTGGGGTTTTCATTATCTTAAATGTGTACAGCTACAATGTAGCAGTTGTAAGGTGATGGCGATTGATATTCTACTGCGAATACATAAAGACGACACTGGAGCGTGGCGTGGCGGTGCGGCTCGCGATGTAAATCGACGAAGGACGACATTGCAACACAACGGGGTGACAAAGCAACTCAACGTAAAAAGTAAAAGGATGATGGCGAAGATTTCATCGATGCGTGCGATCGTGGCGTCTGAAAAATTTCCAAAACCTACCGAGGGACTCGCTGACGGGGATGGCGGGGAGTGGCCGGCCCGGGGCGCGGGTCAAGCTCTCAGCGCGGGGAGGTGGTGGTGGCGGCGCCTCCTCCTCACCCACCAGGGAGTAAATGCTGTCCTCGCGTTCGTCCTCATCTCTCTGCAAGTACACATGAACAAACATATGTTACGACTTCAAAAAAAGAAGGAGGTTCTCATGTTGACCTGTGTGTAGGTGTATGTGTGCAAATATCTCGCGATTGGCTAAACCGATTTTGATGCGTTTTCAGAAAACACTTACACTTAATTGTATATATTTGCATGCCTCCTGGTAAAATATGGTTGAGCTTGCAATGTACCTAAACACCACATATTTTATTACCCATATTTGCAAATAAACTATCTTTATTTTTCTTTAAAAACTATCTTTAATTGTTACACTTAGGAGAAGTTTTAAAAAAAACTAGGGAAGTGTCATCCAACACTATTACTATGGGAACCACTGTCGCCAAAATCAAACAAATGAAGCGATAATTTTACATCGTAATAAACTTTTTTTAAAAATACATTGCCGGATTTTCTCCTGTATCGTGGGTGCGTTTAATTACACATCACAAAACAACAATCTGTGGATCACACAAAGAGTTGTTCACGTATCGCGGCAGCCAGTTGCCCAGCCACCGCGTGAACCGTGCCGTCGACGATAAATAAGTATTTTGATTCGCAAGTGCGACTGCCAGGCAAGGGGTCTCGGGTTCGATTCCCGAGTCGGGCAAAGTATTACTGGGTTTTTCTCAGTGGTAGCACGGAGTCTGGAACTCGGCATATGGCAATAGGCTCACCCCCTATTACATGGGACTCATAACATAAATAGTGAAAAATGGGTGTTACATTGTACTGTGGCATTAAGTGCCGTAATGTGCACTTCTGAATAACCTTTCGTGGATAGAAGGCGTGATGTTATGTTATGTTATTTTAGTTAAAATCAGCTTATATAGCATATCTCACATCCGGAAATAAAGTTTAAAGCAATTATGTAGGATAGGATAGAAAAAATATTTCGGCACGTGTGACTTTACCTGTTGACAAAATACGTCTATGAAGAATACATCTTTAGAACGTCTGAAGCGAAAGTAAGACAAGTTACCGTAATTATGACACGATTGCCACGGCTACATCACACTTTACCTCAAGTTTTTTCTATCCCATGAAGGTTTTACGCCCAAATACTGAAAGACTACTCAATTTTAAATGGCGCCTAGGCCTGTCAGTACATTTTCTTTGTAAAATGATAGAGATGTGGCACGATATTTAAGTACAACTTAAACTTGAGTATCCATTTAGTATTCGGGCGTTAGTAATTAACCGACTTCAAAAACAGAGAGGTTTGAAGTTAGTGTTATTAAACGTAGTTTACAAAGACCTATTCAAACTGAAACCTAAATGCCCGGTTCATATCAGGTATGTTAATGTAAAAAGTAAATATGAAAATAAAACAATTCCAACGAATATGAGCACAGGAATGGTCCGGGTCGACCGGATACCGCCACAGAAAGTGACGTGAAACAACGGTTGCGTTGTGATCCTCCGTGTAAGTGAGGTTGCCGGAGGCCCAATCCTCGCCCATCTCCTGTTCCCAATAATCAAATCCCCAACCCCAAAAGGTCAGTAATGCTTTTTTTAAGGGACAAGCCCGCCGCAACCTCCCAAAACCGCTGCAACTCCTGTAAGCCAGGATCTACAGTAGATACAACCATGAAAACACCGGAACACTGAAGTCCGGCGCGTCCCAGGGACATGAATAACTATCTTGTCCCGCAACGAAGTGAATCTGAAGATATTATAAGAGGAGAAGAAAAAAACGATAGTTTCCACTTCCCTCGGTGAATTACTGCAGGAGACAGAGTGAATTAAGCCTAAAGGCACAAAGAAAAGAGACTGTACAACTGGGTGAAGCCCAGTCGCCAAGCACCACGGAAATTTGACAAAAGTGGGTCCTATGTGTGAGCTGTTATACTTGCTTCCAGTAATAGGTATAGCAAAAGCGCCTAAACGCACGGAAATTTGTTCTAGATTCCACAAGGTCCGTATAATAAATAAGCTGCACCTGACGAAACAATTAAATCATTTAACATAGTGTTACGTTCAGTAATACACTTGTAAGGTTTCTGGGGTTGCGAGTGTCTATGAGCGGCAAAGATTGCATACCATCAATTGATTCGTCTACTCGTTAACCGCTACTATCCCATAAAATCCCTCTCGAGCTTTTATAATTTTATAATTGCGGTTCTTTTGTTATTTTTGGACGACGGAAGGGTGAGCAAAGACTTACAACATAACTGGTGAAAAATTAATTACAATTATATTGTAGGTATACACAGCGCCGTCTTAGACGACGCTGGGGCACAATAATTCGGGGCCCTTTTTAACCGACTTCAAAAAAAGGAGTGTTTTTTATGTTTGTTACTCAATTACTCGAAGACTCCTGGACTCATTGCAAAAATTCTGTTTTCGTTTGAAAGGTTAGGCTTGACGTTTAGTCCCATTGTCATGAAGGCAAGATCTGATGATGGAATCCCAGGGCAACAGAGGGGAACTTTTAAAAATTATAGGGGCAACTAGTGAATTTGTAAATTTTTTCGTTAAGTATTTAAAACCACTTCAATCTGATAAAGGTCTGGAGTAGATCTGATAATGGAACCGAGAGGCAGTCGAGAGCACTCCTCAACGGTGAACAGTAGCTGTCTTGTGTTTAGGTTTGATTAATTTGTATTGATGAGGACTTTACACCTAAGAGGTATGTGATTGCCAATAAGGGTCTGATGATAAAAAGCAAAATCTGAGCAAAAAATAACTATTATTGGTCATACGTACTTATAGCTGACACACCCACTGATAGGTTAGAAGTCGGTACCACAAACCCATACAGGTATAATAATCCATAATAAAATTGTAAACAGCTTAATAATGTTAGGTATCTATTAAGGTTTTAATGAATAAACCACAAAGATTTGCTCCTTTGCGGGAATCGAACTGGTGAGTCCGTCGCAGAAATTGTCGGGCCTTCAGGGCCCTCTGAGAATGGGGGACCTGGACACGGGCCCCATGTGCCCTTATATTAAAGGCAGTCTGCCAACGAGGCAGTAAACAGAATAAAGGCGTTAAGTAAACTGTTCAATGACACCAACTGGATCCTACAGATACCCTGCAACCTTGACTGTCGTGACACAATACTAGAATATTCCACAATAAAGAACTGCATCTATTGTAATAACCAACAATACACGAACGGAAGATCCTATCTTCAATTTAAGACAGATATGCGAGTATCGTGGCTGCAAGTGGAATGCCGCTTCTATAAATTTTTCATTTCGAAATTCTCATCCTTCAAGTCTGGAATTGCGAGCGATGTATGGGAACAACATCACATAGAAATAATGATAATTATCGATAGTGACTATAAGTCCGTAGCTATATCCCTATCCCTACTATGTATAATAAGCGTGGTGCAATATTTCGATTAACAATATCCGTTGATGCTGTACAAAAAGTCACACTTCCACCGAAAGATTGCTAGCACTTCGCTAAATTATCACTAATATCCTAACCATATCGAGAACGCTACTGAGATTTAAAAAAAAACCCTGTAATACTTTGCCCGACCCGGGAATCCAACCCGAGACCCCTAGTCCGGCAGTCGCACTTGCGACCATTCGGCCAACGAGGCAGTCATCGAAGAAGATACCATTAGAAGAAAAACGATTGAAATTTGTATTAAACAAAATAAGTTTATATTAAACACCGTTTTGCATACATACATAACATCACGTTTGTCTACCATGGGGTAGAGTAAGCAGAAACTATGGAACGCCAATTGCTACGATTCTTACATACCGTTTTCTGTGTACCTATATGTTCAATCAAGCAGAAAAATGAAAAATAAGTTAAAGTACTTACGTAATTAGGGTCGAGGCGCTTCGCACCTTCAATGACGGCCTGGTAGGAGAACCGAAGCTGATCAGGAGTTTGGATCAGGCCCATCCGGTGCCGACGCATCTCGAGGAGCGCCTCTTGAATGTTGAGGTTCTCGATTCCTTCCCTTTCCACCTGGTGAATACGAACTCGAATGAAACCCCGCCGTAACACAATAATCCGGATTAAGAGAAAGTAAAGCCATCATAATCACGACATGAGTTCATAAATGCAGTTTGAATATTTCGTTTCCATCTACAGCACACGTTAAAGCTTTTTGTAAAAATAATCCATTAAATTTTAAAAACGTCGAAGTAACCGCAAACGCTGGTGTACCGAGAATCGTTTCGATATCTGAATCATTAATTACTTAAGTTTTGTTATTTATATAACATCGCGTATTGCAATAGTATAAATTCTAATTTATGAGTTCACAATTCGCGGCAGCAGCTTAAATAAATATGTATTCATATCACTGAACGAAGCAAATAATTTGAAACTTCACATAAAATAACAATTAATTAATTTAAAAATCAATCAAAACACCACTGGTACGTTAAAATAATTTGAAGTTACATTTAAAAACTGCAATGGCACTTCGATAATTAAAACTAAAAAAAGGAACAATAAATTATTGTAAAATTGATAAATTGTAAATGACTAGTTCAAATAAGTATTTAAAAATCGCAAGCCACTAACGCTATCAGAGGAGATGGACGTGGAGGACGACGAGGTCGACAAAGACGACGATGAAGTGGACATTTTTAAATTTTGTTTGATAAACACGTTTAACGTGAAGGGTTAACTGGTTCCCGGTTCGCCGCGTCCGCGCTCGACCGCTGCCTGGGTCCAAATGCAACGTAGTAGGCGTTCGATTTATGTACAATGCATATACGTCCGTCATGCCGCTTTTACATATTTGATAACCGCGCTATAATGAAAAGGCTGGCGCAGGTAATGTTTAGAACAACATTAAATAGTAGTAGAATGAAGTTTTGAGTAGAGATTTTGAGTTACAAGAAACAGACCGATTTATTTGAAAAACTGAATATTTTGCCATGAAATGTTAACGCTAAAAAAAGAAGATGACGGTCGTTAATACACGATTTTTTAGGTTCTTGGCATTTATTGTGAAGATGCAATAAGAATAAGAACGTAATTAAATTTTTACATTATCCAAAAATAGACATTTCAACAAATACGAATCGTATCAGTTATTAACACAACTTTTAAAAAACTTTAATTTTTACGTGAAATTTTCGTGAAAATGATAAAAGACGGGAAAATTTATATTTGCAAGAAAATGAAATTGTATGCTTTTGACATTAAAAAGCACGTCGCCATAAACTTTCGCTTTTCAGTATCTAGAACTTTGCCATTAAACTTTTTTCTGTAGGACCCATAGACCCAGTCCTTTCGCAAACCCCGATAAACCGATTTTTTCTTCTAACGCCTCAGTTTCTTTTACCTTCTCTATGTTCTTCCCGTCCTCAGTTCGCCCGTAATTTGTTATTCCGTATTTTTGGGCACATTGGTTTCATTCTACTACTATTTAACAAAGTATCTAACCATTAATGACGTTATCTACTTGCAGTACATAGTTTCCCAAAAGGAACCAGCCAATATTCGCTATTAATTAATAACGATACGGTAAAAGCAAATTGTATCAGGAACTAATTCATTATGGATGCTTTGCTCTAACGATATCGTCTTCAACTTGCAGAAATGGCATTTCTTTGAGTGGATCGATTGAAATAACTAACATTTTCCGTGAATTTCAGACAGAATTTATGGAAAAGGTCAGATTCTGAGATTTTAACTAACGTAGTGAATTCATATGTTTTTAAAAGTTAAGTTTACTTTGTTGGTTACTTTTTTGCTACACGGTATACTTTTATTGAACAGAATACAGGAAACAATTACATTGAGCTAAGGCAAGAAAATAGTAGAAACATTGCACACATAAGATTTTTAAGAAAAAATGTTTTGTAATACATAAGAGGAAGTAACTATATTATTCAGCCCCTCTGAAAAACAACAAATAAAATAAAAATAAATTAAGAAGGAAATTCGGCACAAGGGTGTTTGTTCGAAAGAGTTACGTAAAAATCATGACCCTTCTTGGTTGAGAAACCAAGTAAGTTATATAACAAAAACATTAAAATCTATATCACCCCAGAAGGATATACTTTGTGATTAACACAGCGGTTTTAAATACCAGTCATGATTTTTCCAAAAATCTCATAAAAGTAGAACGGATTTATTTAAAAAGTTACTTACGATGACAAGACAGCAATCGACAAGGCAGAATGTGCCTGATCGTCCGATACCGGCACTGCAATGGATAACTGGAGGCCCATCAGTAGGATCCAAGACCCCAGACTCTCGTACTCTCTTCAGGAACTGGAGGAACGCATTTGGAGAGGTGGGGACACCAAAGTCCGGCCAGGTGGTGTAGTGGTACTGCATTACGTCGCGGTTTTCGCCGCTCTCAAGATCATACAGCCTAAGGAGTTGGAAATGTATATGAATCTTTCTATCTTACAAACACTTTACAATTATGGTACAGGTATATATAATAGGTGAACTATAAAAGGATGTGTAATTTTCTACTCGCTCTTTGGCTGCTTCGTCAAGTAAATGAAAGTACAAAGGTCAAATAAGCAGTCGCGGGGTTTTTGTTTTTCGAAAAATCTCAGAATTAGCACTAGCCTCGGAATTCTGTGTATGATTTTGAAATAAATAAGCACATCAGGAACATCTGATCGGTTTCAGTGCGCGGTATTTCCTTTGCTGTATTAGCGAACTATTTACACGTTTTCGAGGCCAGGAATGCGCCTCAGGATATTTTCGTAATATTATCTTGCTTGGGCCAGACACGAAGCCGACTAGTTTCCACCTGCACTTCTGATCTGGTTGAATCTAGACTTATCAGTTACTTCTTTAGATGCAATTTTGTATAGTATAGGATAGGAGGCAAACAAGCAGATGAAATTTTATGTGCTTAATATGTAATGTAAATATATACTTTAAAGCGATTACATCATCTAATTAAAATAGGTAACTTATTATTTTATGACATAATACCATGTCGAAATTGGGGTATGGTCACCCCACAAATTTCGACATTTTCCTTGTTTGCCCTGAGTTTTTCGGAAAGGGTTTCTTAATTGAAAGTTTGGCGAGTTGAGTTAAGGCCACACCTATATAAAATTTCAATAAATAAATTTGTTTAAAAACAAACCACCCCTGTATTATGGCAAAGGTAGGTATTATTCTTTCTAATATGGCGACCATGGTAGCCGCAACGTCATCCTTACTTCCGTACTTTCCTTACTTATATTATAAATCGGAAAGTGAGTTTGTTTGTTTGTTCCACTTTAACGTCGTAACTACTAAACCGATTGCTTTGATTTTTTGCAGATGTATAGTTAGAAGTTCGGATTAAATAATAGGGTACTTTTTATCTCAGATTTTTTTTGATATTTTTTGATATTCCCGAGGGAAAACAAAAGTATTGGTATAGATGGCGCTGTGTGTATTGGTATATGTCACATTGGCTTTTTATCCTTTTGTGACGCGAGAGAAGCCGCGGGTAAAAGCTAGTACTAAATAAAATTGCACACATGATAATACAACCTCAGCATTGTAGTCAAATACCCAAATATTTAGTTAACATCAAAATGCAGGCATTTGTTTTTGTTTCAAAAAGCATGTACGTATGTATGTAAATAGAAATTATTTTTGGAAACAATATGATATATCGTTTAAACTCTTTTATTTGTATGGTGTATCTAGTGAATCCTTTAGACAGTAAAGTTCTTAATGAATTGAAAAGGAAGTCTTTGAGACGTGAAAAAGATCAAACAAAATACTTTTTGTTTACAGTTCTACTGCATTGTTGCCGTCTCAGGGGTAATAATACTTAGTCACAGACTTGAGACTAGTTGCATCGAATCCTGAACCGTCCAACACATGAATTCGTCCTTAATTAATTGATCTAATGAATCAAAGGTCCAGACAGTTTCGTTTAAAGTCAAGGAAGTTTTCAGACGTTCCCTTTGAAGTATTATTTCCCTTATACGATCTCAAAACCAGTAAGATGTTAAGTATCTATGGTATTGTATTTATATTGAAACTAGCTGTTTCCCGCGACTCCTGTCGGACGCGTATAAAAATGATATCTGGCAAATTTTGGATTTTATAATTAGTCTTTTCCAAGTTTAATTCCAATGCTGTGTAACAAATATTATCAAAATCGATCAATATTATATGTATTGTGAAATGTTGTTCATTTTCGTGATTTCAAAACATAAACAATCTCACGGGGATTTTACCCGTATAGTATCCATTCCTGTGAGGTTTTATTTCTTAAAACTCCATTTGAATTCAAATCAAATAGATACAGCGGTTGAAAACTCTCAGGCGTCATTTTCCGAGTCTCGAACTACCTTCATACTGAATTGTACTCAAATAAGTCCAATGCTTTAAAAGAAAGAGATACCCAGAAGTTTAACGCAGTTCCTGTTGACTGGAATGATACCACAGTCTCACAGAAAACCCACGTGAAAGAACACTTGCGTTATCTATGGTAATGGGAATAGGGTTACCGGAGATCCAATTATCCCCCTGCCCAATCTCCTCAATCCCTGAATGTCAAACAATCCTCAAATTCCTAATCCCTAATAGGCTAGTAACGCACTTGTAACAGGTCTGGTGTTTCGGGTGTCCATGGGCGGCACCGATTGCTTACCACCAGGTAATCCGTCTGCTCGTTTACCGGCTTATTCCATTAAAAATACATCTTTTCCCAGGTCTCAAACTATAGTAGTACCTAACGAATTGCACTCAAATAGATTAAATGAGTGTACAAAGATGCTACTAATTCCTGTTGGATTTTTTTCCAGTAGACCTGAGACAGGAAGTATAATTAAAACATAAGACACAGTGTGTCACGGAAGAGTAAAAAAAATACGATAAGAAATATGTGTAAAAAAAAAATCTAAAACTAAATAATAACTACACTATAAATTAATATAAAAACGTGTCTACAGGTTGTTACAGGAGCCCGACCTAATATAAGAAAGGAGGCGGGAACTGGCGGAAAACTCTCATAGTCGCACAGATGCAGAGAAAATCGTTAAGCAGTCAGGCGTCGTGGACGGCGCAGAGGTCATGCATCTCCGTCACAGGAGCAGCGGCCTTTAAGTCAAGCGTCACATCGGATCACGAGGAAGTCCTCTAATCCAATGCGGCAGCCAACGTCAACGTGTGGTCGCTGTGGGCAATCTCATCGAGCGAGGTGCCCAGCGACAGGAGTACAGTGAAGGTCATGTTAATCTTTTGGTCATTTTGTTAGATTTTGTTATAAAAATAAACATGTCAGATAGTTTTAATAGTCGATATAGTAAAAATCACCCACTCGAATAATCATAGTAAGCTACACAAACAGTCGTATAGTCAGTCAAACAAACAGCCAGTAGTCAGAATGCACACACACCAGAAGTCGTCAAAATCCAGTGAATCTCCATGATGATAATGCTCAAATCTCTGAGAGATTACACATACAAAACTAAAGTCATAGGTAGTTCATGGAAAAAAACTTACAAGCATAAAATAAATTGCATTATAGATTCAGGTGTAGATAGATGTCAATGTCATATCTGTCAAAAACTTCAGAAATCTTAAACTGTATTTTTTTAAGAGGGGAAAATCATCGTATATCGCCTAGGTGAGGCGGGAGGGAGTGTCAGACTCTTACTGACTAAAAACTACCCCGTTCCTTCTACCGTACCGTACGAGCGTACCTACGTACCGAGCCGGGAAGGGAAGTGGATTTGGTGGAAAAAACATTCCAATATTAAGAAAAGTAAATTTAAAATGCTACTTGAATATTGAGAACAACAATATAAGTAGAAATATAGTGTTCATAGTAGCAAATATAGTCTGTCCAACTGTCTTACCTTATCTACCTACTTGTGAAAAATTAGGTACAATAAAACGTTGTACTGAACCCACAGCGCCATCTAGTATAGCTTATCCAAAACAGACACAACTACAAACACCTATTGTGAAGATTGAGCACCCATACAAATCATCCGCCTTTATAAGCAGAGTTGTCTTCGAACAAATCATCATTCTTGTAGAAATGAAACGACCGTAGATGGTAACGAACTGTCAAATTTTTATTTTCTGCATAGATTAAACACAATATAGTTCCCAAAGCCTCTACTAGATGGCACCACATTTATATTTATTTTGTTAGAATACGACACTCCCACTTAACAAAATAAAACTAAATACCTATCTAGTGTTTTATTTGACTAAACCTAACATCTCTAAAAATTTATAATGTTTTACCGCATTTAAACCTTTGGTAAATAAATCAGCAGGCATTTCTGAAGTTGGTAAATAACTCAATCTAATAATATTATTATTTAAATGTTCTCTAAAAAAGTGAAATCTGATATCAATGTGTTTTGATCTTTTATGCAAACAATTATCATTTGCCAACTTCTGTGCAGACTGATTATCATTGAATACAGTTACTATATACAATTTGTTAGTTATCTCATATTGCAAGTTCCGTAAGTATATGGCCTCTTTACAACAATCTGATATTCCCATGTACTCAGCCTCGGTGCTAGACAGAGCTATAGTGATTTGTTTCCTAGTTGCCCATGAAACAGCACCACCAGAAAGAGAAAAGAAAAACCCTGCATATGAACGCCTATCCAATACATTACTTGCCCAGTCAGCATCAACATATGCTTGCAATTCTGAATTTCCATTGGCACTATATTTCAGACAATATTCTTTAGTTGTTTTCAAATATTTTAAGACCCTTTTGGCACAAGCCCAATGCTCATCACTGTAACAATTATTAAATTGACTTAAATAATTAACAGAAAAAACAATGTCTGGTCTAGTAAGTACTGCTAAATACATCATAGAACCTATTAACTGTTGGTAAGGTAATTGAGTATTACAATATTCACTTTTACTTAAATTTAACTTAGATTCTATTGGTGTGTAAACTGCCTTACAACTTTGAATATTAAATTTTTGTGATAGTTTTTCAATGTATTGTTGTTGATCCAAAGTTACTGTACCACTTACTTTATCAACATCAACTCTCATACCTAAGCAATGCTTAACACTACCCAAATCTTTAATTTTAAAGACAGATGATAAACTACTCTTAATTTTTTCAGTTTCTAACAAATTATTAGAAAAAATGAAGAAATCATCAACAAACAGTGCAATGAATATTTTGTCTGACACATTAATTTTGCTATAAAGACAAGGTTCGAGTTGAGACCGTTTGAATCCTATGGTCTCTAAAAAACTATCTACTCTCTGATACCAGGCTCTACTTGATTGCTTCAAACCATAAATAGCCTTCTTAAGCTTAAGCACCTTGTTGTTATTTTGCTTACATTCAAAACCTACTGGCATTTTCATATAAACTGTTTCTTTCAAGAATCCATTTAAAAAAGCAGTTTTAACATCAAGGTGGCATATATCAAGTTTCATCTGAGCTGCTAATGCAAAAAGTAATCTTAAAGATGAATGTCTCAACACAGGGGAAAAAGTTTCATTAAAATCTATACCTGGTTTTTGTACAAATCCTTTTGCAACTAACCTAGCACGATATGTTACATTATTGTCAATGTCTAACTTACGTTTGAACACCCATTTACAAGGCACAATTGTACTGTTCACAGGTAAGTCCACTAATTCCCAGGCATTATTTTCTTCGAAAGATTTTATTTCATCGTTCATTGCTAATGTCCATTGTTCACTCTCTGGCCCGCTTAGAGCCTCCAGAAGTGATATTTCATTACAGTCCACATTACACGCACTGGCACTGGCAAAACCATACCGTTCAGGTTGTTTACGAACACGACACTTCCTAACCTCATTTTCCACAACTGTTACTACTACACTACGACTAGCTAGAGGATCAGAATTCGGTAGCCTAGCGGCCTTCTCTAAACCTAAGTACGACTAACTCCAGTTTGATGGCCTAGCGGTCTTCTGGAATTAGCCAGCTAGGGGAGGTCTGAAAGACGAAAGCCACGCAGTCCCTTTCATCCCTTCACTTAGGGTTGAAATTATCTTGATTAGTTTATAGTAAATTTATGTAACAGTGAAGTTGCCAATAAATAATGATCAGGAACACCGGGGCTTTAATTTCACAACCAGCAAACCTACAACGTATATTTTCCATAACAAAACAAGATTTTAGTTAACAGATTCTTACACAATATAATGATTTGTTTCTAGGTCTTGGGTATCTACCTCCAGTTTGTCATCTGAAGCTCAAGCCAGATGCAGTTCCGTGCATTGATCCGCCAAGGAAAGTTTCGTTTGCGTTGCAAGGAAAACTGCGCTACTAGTGTATTTATTTAAGAAACCACTGCATAATGTACCAGCAAAATTACAACGTATGTAATATATATTAACGTTGCAAAAATATGATTTAGAAGTAATACATGTAACTGGTAAGCAAATGTACATATCAGATACTTTGTCAAGAGCAGCTATTCAGAAACATTATGTACCTGAAAGTGAGTCGAAAGATGTCATGTCATGTCAATTTAATGTTTGCATACATCTTGCAATTAGTCAGGAATATAGCACAATATTATGTCAGGAAACTAAGAAAGAAGAAAGTTTGTTAGTTAAAGAAATATTATATGAAAGATGGCCTACTAAATAAAAATAATGTAGATCCATTATTAAACTGTCAAACACCAAGCGGTCACCGGTGACCGCAACCTATTGTTCTTTAATTGTGTCTATAAATACGGTACTCGACGAGTTAAAACCATGTTGGAATATTCAAGATGAAATTCATGGCATTAAAGATTACATTTTTAAAGGTGTAAAATTTTTAGTTCCTAAGTAAATGTATAGAAAAATGTTAGAAATAATTCACAAAGGCCACCACGGTGTAAATAAATATTTGAAATTAGCTAGAGAATCTTTGTATTGGCCAAATATGTCTACAGATATAAAAAAAATGTAGAACATTACATAATTTATAATAATAAAATTTGTACAAAAGTGAAAACTGTACATTGAGTATTTTTTTTTAAAGAATGCTTGAGCCTTGATCTACACTCGATATCGAAGCCAAAAAATATGGTTTTTATATTTTTTGTCTGTTTGTCTGTCCCGGCCCGGGCAAAACTCAAAAAGTATTAAGTATAAGCGCTGGGCAGAGGTCGTCCAAAACTATTGTGATCATGGGATGGGAGATGTTATCATAGGTTTTTTTAATCTCCACCGACTCCACAGGAAGAAATCAAAAGCCGTCGACTTTAGGACACTCCAGACCAGAAATGAGAGAAACGGGAAGGTAGACAAATGTTTATTGAAATCGTCTTAACAATTGAATAGATCTGGATGAAGCATTCCGCCAAAACCCAGAGATTTTCAAAATTTCCAAATATTGGCAGATGATGATGAAGAAATATTTTCGAGAATATGTTATGTTATGCTATGTTTGAAATTAGAATTTCATTTCTGTTTAGTTTTGTTGATGGTTTGTTATTGCTACACAGGTGATATCGGGTCGACAAATTAATCTTCTACCAAGTAAATCAGATAGCAATTTTCACCTAAATTCATGGGGATAAGGAACACATCTCTAATCTTTTATTTGAATTCGATGATCTCCAAGTATTAAACACGTCTAGTATCAATTGATTGAATCAGCTATCAATGAACAATATGATATCAGCCCGCGTCAATTGCCTCGAAGTCCCGTAGCGAGCGACCTTGCCATCAATTTGATGACTGGCACGTCACACGTTTGCCGGCGGATTTAATTTGTATATCTTGTACCGCTGCAGAATCAATGTGTTTGTTCCCGAGTAAGGAATGATGATGAATGTAAAATACCTGGTAATACTTAAATACACCATAACCGATATATCATACCGAAAATCCCCAAAATTTCTTCATACAAAAGTAGTCTCAAAACATCGGAAAAAATGTCTATGATGGAGTTAGTGGAAAGCGGTCACCTTTAACCGCTTGGGGATTGTTCAGACAATGTTCTTCAATAGTATCGCTAAAAATTTTCTATGCGTCATTATCGTATGTAATTACTAAGGAACAATATTTACGCAATAAAATAAATACTAATTACGTATAAACTCATCATCGGTATAAACAATAATTAGGATTATGACCGGATTATCATGAGAGCGAATAATTAAATCGGGCTTCATATGAGTAGACTGTTGATTGTCTAGGATTCGATTTTCTTAGAAGAACGCATTTTCTTTGATTGTTTATTAGAACCTTGTTCGATAAGGCATAGCGTTTTCAAATTGACAACCCCTTTAAAAGTCAACAGTAACATTTTTGTCAGGATATCGTTTAAGGTAAGTGGTGCATTCTAAGTGAAAGTTCGTTGAGATAGGAAATAGAAATATATATTGTGTATGTTGTGCACTTACTTGAACTGCCTGGTAGAATAGTAGCAGCAATCTTCTTCTTTTTCAAGGACAAGTGCTAATTGGACATCATTGAAGGTCATCTTATGTGTTTCACCTATACCTTGCGGCCAATACCAGTGGCACTTTATTTCGTTTTTCTCTATCACTTTATTTAGCATTAATATAGCTTTTGTATTCTGTTCCCAGATCATTAACCAAAAGTGTCCCACGGTGAATGCCAAAGGACCCTGGGTTAGAATATAGCGGCGGTTGGCACGTTCCATCTGTGGACAATAGAAATAACATGTCAGGCATTGCATTGTAAATAAAGCAGCTGCAGTGCTGCGACTTTTATCGCTTCTTTAAACGCTCACTCTATTACCATCTTCAAACTACATATCGGTCTTTATACGCCACTCCGTTGTTGTTCATAAGGACAACCAAGTATTATTTTATTTATAATTTTTGCAAATCGTTTATTTCTCAAACTGTACAGATTAATAATTAAAACTGGAATCCTACTACTGAATCATAACCAAGCAAAAGCCGAAAGAGTGGTAAATGCGATTTAATTGCTATATGATATATATTAACTATATACGAGTACTAGAAGTAGTAGTTATAAACAATAGTTTTCCGCAAAGACAACGTAAAATACAATTGTTGATGCAAGCTTAGGGCTGAACAACTTCACGTTAATACCGCTAAAAGCTTTCAGTTTTGTAAAAGACTTAACTAAGAGAATAGTTCAAAGATAAAGATTTCTTAAGACTGAAGCTGAAGCTTCTAGAATTAATGAAAAACTATAGATAGTATTGAGATACCGTCGAAATCTGGTAATGTCCAACGGAAAATTTAAAGGGTAACTGAGCTAAGCTGAAGAAACACATTTGTCGTAGTTAAAATATCGCGGTTTTTAATTCAATTCAAAATACATATTATAGAGTAAACAATGAGTTTTTCCATATTAGTCCGCGAGTTTTCTTAGAAGAAATTAAAAGTCGTAGACTGCATTATCATTCCCTCCATAGGTTGCTTATTGAAAGTTTGAAGCACAAGGGTGACGGGCGATAACGTAAAAATATTTTATTAAAATGCTTGTATCAGGTTTCCAATCATTTTAATAAACATTTCTTCCGTCTCGTTACCTACACAGATCATATGAAAATATTTCATTCTAAGGCAATAGTTAATAGTTGTTTATTTGTAACTATGTTGTTTGTCACATCTATTACGCAAACTATGCATTGTACGAACTTGGAGCCAAGAGCTAATATGCGGTTCAAGTAAGCAACTTCTGCTAACTCTCAACACATCAATATGTACTATACATTTTTGTCATAGAGTAGGTGTAATTATGCTTAAACTGTCAATGCAAAATTCATTTGGAATATCACTGAACGAAGTAAAGTATTTCAAACAATACTGCCGTTTAGTGAATGTATATATTTGACTGCACATAAATGGAAAATTAAATATCGAAGTCTTTATGCCTAGTTGTAAGCCAACAGCGAACAAATAATTGCAGTAATTATATTTCTGTACAATTTTCCACTTATAAACGTGCTTTGTGCATTTCTAGTTGAATTTATGATTAGACAGGGATTGTTAAATGTTGGAAATAAATCGGTAACATTCGCTAAGTCTACGGCGACGGCGACTTTTGATTTATTATTTATTTACTTGTGCATAAGTCAGACGTAATGGACTAGATCTTTAATAAAATAAAAACTGCGTTTAAAAAACCGACTTCAAAAACCAAAAACTAATAACAAACAAAAAGTCAAAACCAAAAAGCAAAAAATAACTAATATTAGTACTGATAGGTTACCCACCCACTGATAGGTTAGAAGTCGGTGCCATAAGTTCCATACAAAATTATTCATTAAAACCTTAATAGGTACCTAATTTACAATTTTATGGACATTAAGTTATATCATTATGATATGAGCTTATGGCACCGACTTCTAACCTATCAGTGGGTGGGTAACCTATCAGTACTAATATTAGTTATTTTTTGCTTTTTGGTTTTGACTTTTTGTTTGTTATTAGTTTTTGGTTTTTGAAGTCGGTTTTTTAAACGCAGTTTTTATTTTATTATTTTACCATTTTCAGTGTAAAGCTACATATACCCGTCTTGTTACTTATAATATACATAGGTGCCAAGTTCTAATCAATACAAATTGTACAAGCTCAAACACAAGGTAGTTACAGTATACCGTTGAGGAGTTCCCTTAACAATTACACTTCTTCATCATCAGACCCTAATGACAGCCCCACTCTATTTAGGTGTAAAGTCCTCATTAATACAAATTAATCAAGCCCAAACTCAAGGTAGTTACTGTATACCGTTGAGGAGTTCCCTTAACAATTACACTTCTTCATCATCAGACCCTTAATGACAGCCCCACTCTATCTAGGTGTAAAGTCCTCATCAATACAAATTAATCAAGCCCAAACTCAAGGTAGTTACTGTATACTGTTGAGGAGTTCCCTTAACAATTACACTTCTTCATCATCAGACCCTCAATGACAGCCACACTCTATCTAGGTGTAAAGTCCTCATCAATACAAATTAATCAAGCCCAAACACAAGGTAGTTAATATAAACCGCTGAGGAGTTCCCTCGACTGTCTGTCGACTCCATCATCAGGTCGACTCCAGACCCTTATCTAATTGTAGTGTTTAAAATTCTTAATTGGAAAACATAATAGACGCATTACTCCTCCATAGAATTTTCGAAAGTTCCCCTCGGTTTCCCTAGGATCCCATCATCAGATCCTGACTTCATGGAAATGGGACCATCTCGGGAGTATACGCTTTCAAACAAAACAAAAATTTTTGAAATCGGTCCACAAACGGCGGAGTACTGCGCGAACAAACAAAAAAAAAAAAAAAAAACAATCAGCCGAACATAGTACCTCCTCCTTTTTTTGAAGTCGGTAAAAAGATGTCATTACGACTAGAAATGCGAATAGTCGAGAAGGTTGGTTCAGGAAATTTGTTTAAACAATGCAGACCATTAATTAAGCTTCAGGCAGAAATTGCACAGTACAATAGTCATTAGTTCCTACATCGAGATCTGTTTACATGTTCATTAATGTACAGTTTGATTCCATAATAACCCAACCGGAGTTAACAATGTCGGGCGCACTAGTACAAATCAGCTCTTTGACGGTTTAAGGGGTGTGCACACAGAGGGTTCAAATTGTAATTAAAGAGACTGATGCGACTTCACATAGGTATGCATACGTAAATATGTAACATCACAGGTCAGGCACAAAGACTTCATGATTAATTGCATCGCTGTCACGCGTCTGGTTACAAACTACGTAAAGAGTATTCAGGGATTAGCATACCACAGTCGGTCCCGAGATTTTGTTTACTTTTTCTACGTTAAAGTTTAGCTAATAGCTGCTCTTTATATTAAGGGTTGAAATTAAATAACACGATAAAGTGCTCTATTACTTTCGTTATGTATACAGTATCACGTACATAGAAGAGATATTGTAGATCAATTTACCAAGTCTTAATATTATGCATTGTCACTGATTTTAATACGAAATGGCCGGGTTATCCAACTTGAATACAGGTCCCTTTTCTACCTTGCGGGGATTAGGTAATGAACGTGGAAATAAGTACTTGTTTTCATGTTATTGGGAACTAGGTACTACATTTGGATATTTTTGTTTTGTGTTCTATATTGTGATTCACTCGATTACTATTTTTTTTAAGAAGTCCATAGGTGTTGCGTTGTTAGTTACTATTAGGCTAATAATCTACATTTGCAGACCGAATACAATTACGAACTTTACAACTTTGTGCTTTAGAGCACTCAAAACTGTGGCAAACATTCTATTGCCTGATTAAATATACACACGTTAAGTTTTTCTACGTACTAAATTGAGCTCTACATCGGCAAGTTATGAATAAAACTAACAATAGGTGTATTTTTCCAATGTAGGTAGTCTGTTATAAATCGGCGTCATTACAGTTTTTGAAACATTTGTCAGTACATTATGTCGTTCACAACGACAAGCTGTCAGCTGAATGGTGTCAACGTAAAACTAGGTGTAGTCATCGAATAGGAGTTGGGTCAGTTTTGTCCCGGTTTAAGTTATGTGCATTTTAAGAATCAGCATTTTAATAGGCGTCGAGATGTCGACATCCGTTTAGAATTTATAAAGGCGAGGTATCTGTGACGTTAGAGAAGGTGTACCATATTATACTGTACTGTATTCTATTGTTTCATAAATATTTCTAAAGCTTTTTTGTAGTAGTAAAATAATTTTCCCGTGGACAAACTGACGAAAAGTCGATATGCTATAAATCTGCATTATGTTAATGATACATGATCATCAGCCCGTATTCGGCCACTGCTCAAAGTGGACCTCTCCAATGGCACGGCACTGAGTTTGGTCTTCAGCTCTTCTCATTTAACCACTGCTGATGTCGTCACTCCACCTAGCTGGAGGGCGCCCTAATATGATACATATCACAAATAAAATAGCAGCAAGTTCTAAGTCACCAAGTTCTAAGTTGCATCAGAGACAAGAGTATGTCGAACTTGCACGAGTTGCGGAGTTCAATAGATTAAGTGTGACTATGATGAAGCCGGGAGTCAAACTTTACACATCAAACTGCAAAATTGAACCGGTATTTACCTATAAGATTGGATAGTTTGCTCTACGTTGTTTTTGTTAATTATATATCAGTGCCTACATAACTTTTATACGGCTTACAGTACCTATGAGTTACATTTTGGTATAAACTGTGAGTATTGAGAAAGAAATTATGTCTTGGCAAAATTGGTTTAGAACTTTACGATTTTTGTAACAAAAGTGAAAATGTATTTAATGGGATTTTAGGGGGGGGGGATCATCGAATGACTTTTCCCACCTGGATGAGGCAGGAGGGAGTTTTAGACTCTTATTGACTAAAAACCACCCCGTTCCTACTCCTGCACTTCGAGCCGGAGTCCCGGTAACCCGTTAGGTTCTCCGCGGCTCCGTATCGGCGTCAGCCCTATTGGGCCCCATTCGTGGTCTGATGGCTCTTTGAGGCGCGCTCGGAACACGAACGAGATTATTTAGAAACCATTGACAAACGGCGAAGGAAAACGCATTGAGCAAGCGTGGTGATTAATGCTCAAACCTTCTCAGTGCTTAAAGAGGCCTTTGGTCAGCAGTGGGCACTAATAGGCTGTTGATGATGATGATTTAATAGGGTAACTTTGGCACATGCACCGAGTACATAGCTACTTTCTAATCCAATGAACGTCATT